ATTATAATTAATGGTACATCACTACTGCGACTTCTCAGATGCAAAAAAAACCCAAAGAGCTTCGCTGTACTGAACACAAGCGACTACAAATGGTTAAGCATTGACGCAGGATAGAATAGCCTCTTTCTCTCAGAAAACTCTGCAGGTTTCTTTTTGCTTTGAAAATTCCCTACCGTTGACGTCAATAGAGAATGCAAAGTGATTTATTAAAAGGGAAAATTATTTTACAGGAATAAATCTCTAATTGCAGACAAGTTGGATGGGGGGGGGGGGGCGGAGGAGTTAGGGGTGGGATGGAGGGAAAGCAATCTATCTGGGAACTGTCCCTGTGATGGCTGTATCATCTGAACATGTAACATAAAAAAATACTCTTGGTTTGATCAGAATTTGCAGTAGTCTATAACTAAAGCAGAGCAATTTGTCCCCACCCACTGCCTGCACAATGGGACAGTGCAAAGGCAGAAAGTTGCTGCTTCTTCTAGAGAGAAAGATATGGGTTCGAGTCCCATTGTCCAGACACATTGTAAGAGCCTGATCAGATCTCAAGGGGCTTTATCTCTACCCATCAATTTTCTTTATCATTCTAAACACCTAGATTAGATCACCACTCAACCTTCTGAACCATAGAGAAGACAGCCATGGGATTAACCTATTCATCCTCAGTATCATTCTGGGCAATCTGCCCTGTAACCACCTCTCCTCGCCCCCGCCAAGGTTAATATATCCTTCTTGAGGTGCAGTGCCCAAAACATTGCACCATCTCCCCCTCGCCTACCTGCTCCGGTGAAATAACCAGAAGTGTGTGGGCCCCAGATATTACCAATCTGCTCCTTTCACTATAATAATTATAATTAATAATCAGTGCATTTGATACAGCCCCAAAATATCTCAAAAGAGCTTCATAGGTACATGGCTGCCAACACAGAGAATGCTTTCCCAGCCAACCTCTAGATTGCAACTAAAGATTAAATCCCAGTCATCTCGCAGAGAATCTTTCCTCTTTAATAAATGACTTTGTACTGTGTGTTGACATCAGCGCTGGGGAAAAGAACTATGTATTTTGTACTCAAATCTGGGCATCTATTTTTTTTAATATGCAACAACGACATTACATTTGTATAAGGCCCCACAAATAGCCATGAAGTGAGAAACCAATTTATCTGGAGGATGGTTAGACAGAACAATTTGGAGTCATTGACCCAGAGGCAAGAGAATGCTATCACCTGAGCCAGATTGACGCACATGAGATCACGTTAGCCGTGATAAAATAAGAAGCAAGACGCAATAAAATTCCAGAAAGCCCCAAGGATAACAATTTCGGCAATTCAGCAAGTTTGTAGCATCACCACCTTCTGCAATGTAAAATAACTGTCCAAGTGAATAACCCTCCACGTAACTGACTAATTCACATTGTGGCTGCTTCAGAGATTGTGCCAGGTGCAATATGGCTCCCACATTTACCTCCAAAAAAGTCACTACACTTGACAGCTATTAGCTGTGAAGCATTTTGAGATGTGCGTAACTGGCTGCCCTGTTTCACACACAAAATACGCAGCCAATCCACTTTACAGAACTTCGTGTGAAGCGCTACGAGACAGGTCAACCACATGATAAGGCACTATATCAAATGCAAGTAGAATTATTATTAATCAGTTATCTATTGCACACTAGTAACCATTCCATGGAAATTATTTTTCACTCACCCTAAATTCCCACAGAACCCTGCGAGAGCGAATGAGCAGTTTATCTAGAGAATTTCAGAAGCAAATTAAAAAAAAACTAATTTCACTCTTATCTGGTGAAAAAATCTACTGCCACACAGCATCTGCTTACAAAACACAGTCACTACACTATTTGGAGACATCCTCCTGATGTGACAAGCACAAGAAACTGCCTTATATAAAAAAAAGCAATGATTATTAGCTGTGCTTGTCGATATAACATTCACTTTCATTTATAAACTCTCATAATCTGTATGGTTCAGTACCATATAAATACTATGCATTAAATAGTTAATAATACCCCAGCCCATCTCCCTACAAACTCCCCATTTTGATTCTCATTAGAACAGGTCACGTGGGTTAAAAAGCAGATAAATAAATAAACAAACAAGCAAGCAAACAAATAAATAAATAAAAATGGCAGGTGTAATGAGCAATCACAGGTCAAACACCCTGAACGCAAGTAAAAGATTATGGAAAAACATGAGGTGGGTGGCACTTAAAAGCACCATTTACACTTGTGGAGTCAGACAGCGTACAGCACAGGAGCACAATTATTAGGGGCTCATAGGGACGAGGCCAGGGCGAGACAAATCTGCCAAATGTAACAGCTGAAAAAATAAAAGGAACAGGATGCGCTTGAGCCGTGTGCTCAGTGAGGCTGGCTTCTTTATTAAGCCACAAGAGATTTTTTTTTAAACGCTGCTGCTTTCTATCGCCACCTTTTCTCTGTATCTTTGCTGTCATAACGTTCTATATTACATATCAGCTCACTATTTATTTCCAGATTATCTTCCCATTCGTTCCTTAATAATAATAATAATAATCCTTGCATTTGATATAGCGCCATATCAAGTCTCAAAGCATTTCACAGGATATACTGTAAAATGGATTGACTGATTTTTTGTGCATTTTGTGAAGTGCTTTGATAAGTCTCAAAGAGGTGATAACAACAACGAAATTACATTTGTATAAGTGCCTTTCACGTCGGGAAGACATCCCAAGGTGCTGGACAATCAGTGTTTCGGACCCGAGCTGAGGTTCGGAATCAGGGAGGGCAGAGGTGGAAGAAGGCACGGTCGAAGAGGAGGGTCTAGAAGGAGGCAAGGGAGGGGGCGAGACGGAGGGATTACAGGAGTTTCAGAGGGTGGGGGCAGAGTGTCAGAAGATTCGCCTGCCAATGGTGGGCCAGGCGAGGTGGGGGACGTGAAGCAGGCCGGCAGACTGCTGAGCGGGCAGGATGGTAGGGGGGTAGGGGAGAGCGAGGCCATGGAGGGCTTTGAAGGTGAGGACCAGGATCTTGAACTGTATCATCTGTTCGATGGGAAACCAGTACAGTCGGGCAAGGATGAGGGTGATAGGGTCATGGAGCCTAGTGCGGGAGAGGACACGGGCTGCAGAGCTCTGGATGATCTGCAGGCTATGGAGGGAGTTGTTGGGGAGGCTGACAATTTAGTAAGACGCTCTATCAAATGCAAGGATTATTATTATAAATTTTACAGATTCACAGCTCTGGAAAGGTTGGGATCAGTCTCCCATCACATGGGCTTTGTGAGTGAAGTGTGGACATTTTGCCAACAGAATGGAGACTGATGGCTGGGGCTGGTCACCTGCATTGTTGTGTGGCACAGACGTGGCATCTTGTTCCAGGATGGTTCTGAGACAGATTTTGCTTTCCTTCAGGGAATCCACTTATTTGTTAGGTCTGCGCTGTGCTAATTTTCATTAATTGCCTTTCATGTTTAATGTGAGCTATGGGCCAAGAGAAACAATCTGCAGTTCAGGGAGGCTGTAACACAAGGTGGCTGTATGTGAAAAAAAACAATCTTCACTCAGAGGGGTTCTCTGAATGTGGAACAAACTGAGCGAGAACCATGTACAGGCAGAATCAATTGGAGATGGTAATTTAATAATAGGGAGATGGCACTTAGGTATTATTAATTATGTTTCACCCATAAAATACACCAAACCACATAACAGAATATCCTGTGAAGCGTTTGAGACATCTCGATGACTAATAAGGCGTTATAGCAAATAAAAAGATTATTATTTATATTTATCTGGTACCAAACATACAGAATATAAGTGATTACAGATGGAAGTGTAGCAGATATTCTGCACCAGAGGCGTTGATCACCCCAAGGTGGATTGACTTTGCGGGCGAAACGCAGAGGCCAATTGCATACTGCAGTGTATCACGAATAGTCAACAACAACAACAACAAGATTACATTTGTAAAGCGCCTTTCACGTCGGGAGGACGTCCCAAGGCGCTGGACAGAATATACTGTAAAGTGAATTGACTGCATTTTTGTGGGCGAAAAAGTCATGGACTGAGTGACCAATTTTTTTTTACCCCCAGAAAGTGATCCGCCAATCGACTAAAAACAGAGACGTGTGGCATAAGGAAACTTGCCTAAGATTTTGTCCCACCCGGGAATCAAAACTAGGTCCTCTCGCTTGCGAGGTGAGTATGCCAACCACTACACTACTGGACTCCACAAACTACGGAACTTTCAACAATAGATGCTTCTTTCCGTTCCTCTTCCCCACACCCACTGATCGTGTTACAGCCTCCCTGATCTGCAGATTGTTTCTCTTGGCTCTACCTCCCAGCATTAGAGAATGCCCGACACTCCGGTACATCTGGGTCTGTCAAACTGGCACAGCATTGTGTGGTCTCACCATCCTGGATCAGCTGAGCCGTGAACACTGTTGTCCTGGCAACAATCATGCCAGGTCTAAGACCAGATACTTGGCGTGGGGAGGGGGTGGGGGGAGCAGGAGTGGAAATGAGAAATGACACAGGAATGAGTAAAAGGGAGAATAAGAAAAATCAGCTAAATGCTATTATCTAACCTTGGCGGATCAGCCAATTCTTTCCACAAATATCAATGCATGTGATGTAAGCATCCACTGGTGTCAATTGGCACATTGTAAGGGTATTTTTCTCCCGGAGAAGTCCCAGTCGATAATCCTAAACTTTGTTTCCTTCAAAATATGTTCACTATGCGTATCAAATGGATTCCAGGTTTCAGCACCGGATTGGGGAACGCAACTTTACAAGTTTTGCCCACAAATTATACAGTCAATTTACTTTACTGTATATTCCGAGAAGCGCTTTCAGACATCTCAACGATGTGATAAGGCGCTATATTAAAATGCAAGGATTATTATTACAGCAGTGATAATTCACACATTATAGTAGCGCATGATTCATCCCCCCACCAGTACGATATAGCTTTGCACAGTTTGCCATTCATATTAAGAACTGGCTTACAAGTTTCTGATGATGCACCTCGTATCCAGAATCCTGCCTGAATTCAGTCTCCATCTTCACCTCAGCGATCTCTTGGGTCTTGATGCCAGTCAGCCCTGAGCCTGAGCACAAGTGAAATAAAACAGGAAGATAGTTAAGCATTCACCTAGAGGCTTAAGGTACAATTGCCCGTGTCTGTATTTTAGACGGCAAAGAAAAATATCCCTTCCTAGATAGAAAGATGATATTTGGTACTGCATGTGACAGCCTATCGCAAGAGAAATAAAGATGAAGAAGGCAGTTTGGCTCATTTGATCTCATCCTTCCAGAATACCTGTCCTATCACCTTCCCATCACAGCATCTAGCTGCTTCTTAAATAAACCCAGGTTTCCTGGCCTCAACCACCCTTCCTTGTAACCCATCTCAGTTATCAATTACCCTCTGTGCAAAGAAATACTTCCCGGTGCTTGTCTTAAACTCGCACTTCACAACCCTGAACCTGTGCCCTCTCGACCTGCTGCCTTGGCAGATCTTAAAGTATTGTTCTGGTTTTGCTTCCTCAATCTCGTTTAGCACCTTCTATATCTCTAAAAATGTCGCCTCTGAGACGTAACTTTTCAAGTCCAAAAGGCACATCCACACTTCAGAAAACGAGCATTATGTGCAGGGTAAAAGCTGAGCGCTTTCAAGACCAGTATTTTATACAAACGGAGATCTTGTCGCTTTGTATTCACGTGGGAGGAATGCGATTTGGAAAAAGCAAAATAAATGTTAAAAAAATTCTTGCCAAATGTTACACAGCACCAGGCAAAAGCCAAGCAAACGGGTACCTGGTCGAGTGGTCAGTCCTCGGTCTGCTGCAGGGCGGGCATCAACTGGTTCGACTGGGAGCAAGTGCATTGAGAAGCAGAAACAAAACAGTAAGTGAAAGTGCAACTGATGAGGGATAAAGGGCTTCACAAACCAACAGCCAAAGAAATGGGGGAAATCAGGGCAGAGGATCAACCCGAGGAGCGTACTTAAATCCAAATGCAATCTGAGCCCAACCCAAAACCTTATCAATCCAAATCCCTCCCAGGAAAGTTATCAGTCCCCGACTTGCGGAGAGCTAACCACTTCAATGCTTCATTTCAGACCAACCTGTCTTTTGTCGCCTCTTTTTCTTATCCCCCGTCACTCCAACACTGCGCTGTCTGACAGCAATAATTTCTCCACGGCATAGCCTTTGAGCTCGTTTTAAAAGTAAATCTCTTTTTGATTTAATGCACGAAACACAAACTGCAAGCTCTGTAACCAGCTCCTGTGAGGACATTTTTCACAAGGGTTGGATTGTTTGTGGATTGGGGAGTCAATAAACCTCCAGTTATCAGGAATACAACAACAACTTGCATTTTTATAGCGCCCCTCACCCAGGATAGCGAGCCAGAGTGCTTTAGATGTTACCGGGTGGGAAAGAGAGCGGAAACACTATCCACGAGGGGGAGGAAATAGGAAATCTGAGTTAAACTAAATAATGGCGGAGAAGGGCAGGTGAAGCATTTAAAATTGCTTCTCAAACAGAGCAAGAGATTCGAAGAACTTCATTGTTCCAAATCACAGAGTATGGAGGAAATTCACAACAGCAACGATGCTGTGTTAATTACATCCTTACAAAAAACACAGGACAATAAACTGTTTGAGAATTTGAGAGTATTGGAGTTTAGGGAGAGGCAATCATCCTCTTGATTGTGAGATACTGCCTGCTGACACTAACTGTCTGCCATGCTTGCTAGATAACATTCATTGCTTTTCTAATTAACCTCGTTGTGCAAGCGCTGGGAGATGTTTTGTTCAAATGGAAGGCATTGTGTCAATGTAAGCTGGTGCTGAACGAAGGCTCCATGGGACACGATGTGTGTTCTGCTGGAGCAGTAGGGAACAGAAGGGAAATGGGGCAGAGGTAAACATTGGATAGAGCAAGGATGGTGTCTATTCGGGTAGGATTTAAGGTGGGATTTGAAGATATAAGAGGGTGAGGTGGAGGGATAGAGGCAGGGAGTTCCAGAATTTGCCGGTGTAATTACTAAAGACTCAGCCACCAATGGTGTAGCATGGCGGGGACTGGTGACGTGCAGCAGACCTGTTCTAGCTGAGTATAAGAGCTGATGAGAGGAATAGGTGAACAGATCAGAGAGATGTTAAGAGCATGAAGGGATTTGTTTGTGCGGGCAACGGCATCGAAGTCTATCGGTTTGGAGTCAGGGAGCCAGCGGAGCTTGGTGAGGATCGGGGGTGGGTGTGCAAAATGTGAACTTTCAATACTGGAGACAGATGTGTCGAAGGAATCCTTTGGGAAGTTGGCTGCGGACCCGAAGGGCTAGTCCTGCCAGAAACTGGTACTATGGGTGGTTTGGGAAGTTGGATAGGTAGCTGAGCAGAATATTGATCTACTCCTGTCTGACAGTGTTACCACGGTGATAAAGGCAATAATCCGTGTATTTGATATAGCCCCTTATCACTTCTTTGAAACGTCTCAAAGCGCTTCACAGAGTATACTGTAAAATGAATTGACTGTATATTTTGTGGGCGAAACGCGGGAGCCAATTGCGCACAGCAGTGTCCCACAAACAAGACCCACTCATGGATTGAGTAACCAATTTTATTATTCTTTTGAAGGAATTATTACCCCCGGAAAAGCGATCCGCCAATTGACTAACAACCGGGTTCCTACTTACCACTAGTTAAACAGAGGCGTTTCAAGTAAGGAAGTTTGCGAGGTGACTGCTCTAAGCACTGAGCTACAGGATTCCACTTCTATAGATTTCATTTCTATAGAAATATATTTGATCAGGACTCATTGGAAAAGGTTTGAAAATAATTTTTGGGTAGACATAAATACCTTGCCAGACACATTAATATACCCTTGGAGGGGGTGGGGGGGAAGAGGTGCAAATCTGAAAACAAATCAGACAAAAGGCCTTTTGGGCTGTATCTATCCAGGAGAGCCAGGAAAGGAAGAAAACTGATCACTGAGTTTGCTTGAATGCATTAAGAAAATGACTCAATCTCACAGCTCATAGCCACCAATTCCCTCCAGCGCTGAAGTGGTTAGTTAAGACAATCAATGCCAATTTCCCCACTAATACTGAACAGTAAGCCATTAAGTGCTTTGTGTAGAACATTTCAAATAGAAATCGCTTTGGCTGTCTTATTGCAATTAGTAAACACACAAGCGCACATTACTCCCCGTTGGGATGCAAAGTGAAAGCAACTGCAGTGTGAGGCCATTCGGAAATGATTGCACACGGCGCCTGCATTATACAATTAGTGTACTTTAAAAATCACCTCTATCCTGACTTATTCCCTCACTCACAGGAGTTCTCCAGCTCCTGTACCTTCCCCCTTTTATACAGTTATCCTCCACCCACGTTGAGGATGGAGGTATTGTTGCTGCTGTGTTATTCCAATATCCACTCACCTTCATTCTCCGTGTTGACAGGGATGGAGTCTACGACGAATGGGTGCAGGGGCTGCAGATCGTCCAGCGTGAATTCTCCTTGATCCGGGAGGAGCTCGATTGTAGTCTTGGTCTCGGAGAGCGAGGGGACCAGGGCGTCATTGCCGTAGCTGACTCGCGTGTCGCTCACAGAGTTGGCCACCATATCATCGATGTAGCTTTGTTCTTTCTGAAGTAGTTCATCTACACCACAAAAAAAGTCAATCGAAAAGACAGTCCACAAAATACTGCCAACAAAATGCAGTCAATCCACTTTACAGTTTATCCTGTGAAGACGTCTTCATCAAATATATCAATACACTATATCAACTGTAAGCATTATTATTATAATCAAAGGAAACCCCACAAGAATGTCATCATTTTCTCTCAATGGTGCACATTGGCAAACATAACCTGCAAAACCTTCACTGACTCAGGCAAAAACCTTTTTACAATCCAAATATCCAACTAGGCAGCACATACTGTCCAAGTGTCGGCCTGGCTCTGTCAGTAACGCTTTTGCCTCCGATACAGAAAACTGTGGGTTCAAGCCCTAAATCAGGATTTTAAGCTCATAATCTGGACTGACACTCCAATTCGCTGGATTATCAGAGGTGCTGCCTTTCGAATGAGATGTTAAACCGAGGTTCTGTCTGTGCCCTTTCAATTGGACGTTAAAGATTCAGTGGCGCTATTCAAAAAGAGAAGGGAGTTTCTCCTGATATCCTGGCCTACGAGCCCTCAAATAAAATGGGCCAGTCACTTAATGGCTGTTTGTGGGACAATGCTGTACGCAAATTGGTTCCTGTGTTTGCCCATAGATGTAGTCACAACAGTTCTATCAAGGGTTAAAGATACCTGAATTTGAGAATTATTGTTAGGTTGAATAATTTTATATTATAAGTGGAAGGGGGGAGGAAGAAAACAAGATGAGAGGAGGCTTCCCTCAGTCTGATGTGCTCTAATTTCTGAAACACCGATGTAAAGGTCAGGTGCTGTATACAAGCTCACACCCATCCACCAGAAAGCAGCAGGTATAAATCTCGATCTGTACTGAGTTTTCTAATCTCAACCTACACAGCAGTTGGGGATAATATAATAAAATAATAATATTCCTTGTATTTGATACAGCGCTTTTCACGTCTTCGGGGTGGGGGGAAGAACTATGGCCCTCATAGCCTTGGTTTAGGTGGTGGGGGGAGATGGAGGGATGAAGCGAAAAAATGTGTCAAAAGCTTAAAATAATAATTATTTTATTTGGTATCCCGCATTTCGAAAGTAATTGCCATCACTGACTGATTTCAATTGGCAAACATGAGCCACTTTAAGCACAAGGTTTCATAAATAGCCATACAATACAAAATTACATTCATGTCAGGAGGCCATCCCAAGGCGCTGGACAGTCAGGGATTTGGACTCGAGCGATTGCCCTGGGCGACAATTATTATGCCTCTTTGGCAACCAGAAGCACACAGAATTACTACCGGATGCTCAAAATTGCACATTAAATAAAAACAATGCTAATCCAATCAACCCTATTAGGGAGGGTGGTGGGCAGCCGATGGCCCGGCCAAAGAGGAAGGTCTTGAGACTTGCCTTGAAGGAGGCAAGGCGAAGTGACGCGAAGAGAAATGTGGGATGACGTCTAAAGGGTGGGGGCAGAGAGGCTGAAGGCTCGACTGCTGATGGTGGACGGGCCGGGCAGGGGACGTGGAGCAGGCCGCAGCCTGCTGTGCGGAGGGATCGGACAGGTTGATATGGGGTTAGCAGTTTACAGAGGTAGGAAGGAGCAAGACCGTGGAGGGCCTTGAAGGGGAGGATGAGGATTTTGGACTCTATGAGATGAATGACCAATTACTCACACGAATAGTTTGCCAGGACGCTGAGAGAGAAACTCCTTTTCCAACAGTGTCACAGGATCTTTCAAATATCCACTTGTTTTTTTTTTGGTGGTGGAGGAGGGGGAGCAGAGAGGGAACCTTGATATAAGGCATGATTGAACGACAGCACCTCTGACAACACAGTGTTTCTAGTCAGCCTAGACTGAGGGCTCAAAATCCCACACATCACTGTCTCTATCTGACAGTGTGTGGGAAGAGATACTTTGCTGTTAACAAGAAATATTGTCAGCTCCGTGTCAAAGATGGCTCAATTGAACTTGGCTGATACCAAATTCAGATCGATTGTTTGGCTATCCAGACCTAGTTTGAAAACCCACGTTGGGAGACATGGATGTTTTAACAGCAGGCAGTGATCACAGGGGGCATTGTGGATATGTACACCAGGATGGTCAGACTCCACAAGCATGAATATTCACACCCATATCTGGAGAGATGACAGACAGGTTTTAACAACTTGCATGGTACACGGTCCTGGAATGAGTCGTCTCGTCCCAGCTCCGCTCCTTTCTCTCTTGCCATTCCCTCTTTGTACCACTCCAACCCGGCTTCCGCGCTGCCCATAGCACGGAAACAGCCCTGGTCAAAGCCCTGGACATTCTGAACATCTGTGATCATGGCTCCCTCTGCCTCCTTGTCCTCCTCGACCTCTCTGCCGCCTTTGACACTGTCGACCACTCCATCCTCATACACTGCCGCCTCTCCGCTTTACTCAATCTTCACGGATCTGCTCTTGCCTGGTTCAATTCCTATCTCTCTCACCATCTCCACTTCATTGCCTCTAACTGTTTCTCCTCCAGTCCCCACACTGTCATATCTTGCGTCCCCCAGGGCTCTGTCCTTGGCCCTCTCCTCTTTAATATCTACATGCTCCCTTTGGTGAAATCATCCGCAGACATGGGATCAATTTCCACATGTATGCAGATGACACCCAACTCTATCTTTCTGCCTCCACCCTCAACTCCAGGACCACTGCTGTCCTGACAGACTGCCTGTCGGACATCAAGTCCTGGATGAGGGCAATTTTCCTACAGTTGAATATGAACAAGACCGAGGTCCCCCTGATTGGCTCGCGCCAGCGTCTCTGCACTTCAGGCTCTGGCAACATCAACCTCCATGGTTGTACACTACAACTCACCAAGCCAGTCAGGAACCTAGGTGTTTTGTTTGACCCTCAACTGTCTTTTCTTCCCCACATCCAAGCCTTGACCCGCTCTGCCTTCCCTCAAATCCGTAACATCGCTCGACTCCGCCACTACCTCACCCCTCAGGGCGCTGAAACTCTTGTTCATGCCTTCATTGACTATGCAAATGCCCTGCTTGTCAGCCTTCCCAACTCCTCCCTCCACAGGCTGCAGGTAATCCAGAACTCTGCAGCCCGTGTCCTCTCCCGCACCAAACTCTGACCCCATCTCCCCCACTCTCGCCCGACTCCATTGGCTCCCTATCCTTCAGAGGATCCAGTTCAAGATCCTGGTTCTCACATACAAAGCCCTACCTGGACTCGCCCCACCCTACCTCTGCAACCTCCTAATCCACTACCAACCCGCTCGTTCCATCCACTTAGCCGGCTCTGGCCTGCTCCACGTCCACCGCCCCATCATTGGTGGGAGAGCCTTCAGCCACTCTGCTCCCAACCTCTGGAATTCCATCCCCCAGTCACTTGACCTCGCCCCTTCCTTAGCCTCCTTCAAGTTCCGCCTCAACACCTTCCTCTTCGACCATGCCATCGGCCACCCCCTCTTCCCCTCCCCTCCCTTCTCCCCCCCCCGACCCCAGTTCGGGTCTGAGATGCTGTACATTGTCCAGCACCTTGGGACGTCCTCCCGACGTGAAAGGCGCTATACAAATGTAATCTTGTTGTTGTTGTTGGTATATGTTGGCAAAGAACATCAATCTCACATCCTGTGAAACCTAGCTCGTTATGTGAAATTAAAAACATTACTTGTTTTTTATAGTAACTTTCTATTTAATAAAAACTTATATAAAAAATGAAAACTGCCGCTTTCTGAAGGATGATATAACAGCAATACATCACACAAAATATAATTCACTGGCAAGCAATTTTTGTTCATTCCCATCAAAAGTCCTGTTGGGAGTCATACTCTGAATTCAAAGCAAGTCGACTTTTTCATATTTTACCTTTGGAAAGCCTGCGCAATTGAGTACAACAAAATAACAACAACAGAATTACATTTATAGAGCGCCTTTCACGTCAGGAGGACGTCCCAAAGCACTGAGTACAACAATGCGATTGCCCTGGGCGACAATTATTCTGCTTCTTTGGCAACCACAAGCACACAGAATTACTACCGGATGCTCAGAATGGCACATTAAATGAACACTGCTGATGTTTTTACACATTACGCCCTTAAAGCAATCAGCACAGTTAAAGAGTTAGGTTCTTTTAAACACGCTGCCTTTATTCGGATGGGTTGGGTTTAAGTTATTTGGAGGGGGCAGGGCTGAATTTAATCAAGGTGAAATCAAGGGCTGAATTTAATCAAGGTGAAAGAACACAACTCTTTAATGAGGTACAGTGAATGCTTGAATGAACAACTGCAACTCCAGGTTAAGAAATCAGACAACCTCCTTCCAGTCACTATATGCCTCAAGGCTTTGGGACCTTTAATGTCCAGAATCTGCCTAAAAAATGTTCACTGATTTTATTGTTACAGTCTGATACAACACAGGTCACAACCTGCACCCCCAATATTCCTTTTACTGACTTGGCCTCTTGCAATCTCAACGAGTCGCTACGTCAACATGCATGGTGTCCAAGTCTCTAAATGAAAAGACATAAGATTTACGAAGTACCTTAAACACAGATTCTGCTGCTCTCCTCGCCGGCCTTCCCGGCACCTCCCTCCACAAGCTGCAGGTCATTCAGAACTCTGCAGCTTGTGTACTGTCCCGCACCAGGCTTCGGGACCACATCACTCCCACCCTCGCTCGCCTCCACTGGCTCCCCATCCCCCAGAGGATCGATTCAAGATCCTCATCCTCACCTACAAGGCCATTCACGGCCTTGCTCCCTGCTACCTCTCCGACCTACTATCCCCCTACCTACCTGCCCGTACCCTCCGTTCCTCTGCCTCCGGTCTGCTCCACATCCCCCGCCCCAACCGCCCTACCATCGGTGGCCGGGCCTTCAGCCTCTCAGCCCCTAGGCTCTGGAACTCTATCCCCCAGTGCCTTTCCTCCTTCAAGGCCAGTCTCAAGACCTTTCTCTTTGACCGTGCCTTCAGCTCCCCTCTCGACTCTCTACCCCCTCCTCGCTCCCTCCCTTCCCCTGACCATTGCCCCCTTGCTCGGGTCCTGACCCAACTGTACAGCGCCTTGGGACGTCCTCCCGACGTGAAAGGCGCTCTATAAAATCTTGTTGTTGTTGTTGCTGGTAAGCCGTTCAGTGAATTTGTAGCTAAGAGTGGCCTTTGTGATCACAACCCGGGAGCAGTAACAATTGGCATCAATGCTCCTTGGACTTGATAGGTGGATAAAAAAGGGAGAGAGAAAGAAAGAGAAAAGACAGTACAGTCTGAGTTCCTAGGTGTACAGAATTGCTATTGGATGCTCCAGTAAACCTGAAAATGTGTGCGTGGTAAGTCAGCAGTGAGCTGAATTACTTGCAGTGACTCTGATGATTTTTGGGGGGAAAACCACCAATTGGCTGCTGATTCCACGAATGCTACTAAGTGCAACCCCTACCAGAATTACAGCCCTCGGTTGAGGACATGCTCAGTTTAGGTTGAGATTGTTGCCCTCACCACCCCCTTCCTCCACCCCAATCACCATGGACAAAAACCTTGTTGTGACATGTGGCCTAGATTAATGCAAAGAATGGGCCTGTTGGAAACTGCATATCTACAAAAGCACATCACCTCAGGGTGGGGGGTGAAGGACTGACAAGAAAAGTGACCACCTTAAGGACAGGGGGAATGGGAAATGTTTGGAGGTAGGAGGAAGAGAAAAAGGCTTTCACCAGGTATCATCTGCGCCATGCTTACTAAGGCAACGTGGAGAAAGCTTGAAATCTACTGTTACATACCAACTTCATCCTGGATCTCCTCCGCAACTGCTGGGACCTTGTAAAGCAGAGACAGGCTCTGGTTCATGCGCTCATCAATCACACGCAGGTGAGTCATTACCTGCAGGGAACGTTCAAAAACAAAATAAAAGCCAGACATGTTTAGGAGATGGTATTCAGCAAAAGGCAGGAAAGACATTCGCTCTCATTGGCACTGAGAAGCTGGTTAAGTGCTGGCAACTCTTTCAATTTTCCCTGCGACTCCCAACAGTTTGGGTGTGGACCTCCGCATTTTATTTCAAGCACGCCCTTTCTTCTTTCTGGACAGGGCTGCCAATGCTTTTGCAATCTTTGAACTGCTTGCCAGATAAGTCAGTGGGCCAACGTCCTTTGCTAAACTGGATACAAATTGCTGAGTCAAAGACCTCCCCCACCCACAAAGCCCCCCTTGCCATTGCACCAACTTTGAAACTATTCAATCCACCACCGAGTTTTATCAGAAAAGCCATGAAAATAATTAGTTGAGCGCAACTGCGATTTCTTAAAAAAGTCCAAAATATTCCAACCAACGCAGCTCGGCTCTTTTTGTTGTCGTGCTACTTTGTGAAATTGTTCCATTGGGTCGCCAAATCCGCACTGGGTCCCTCCGGAAGCTACACTTCCTCTCACAAGAGAAGCCACAAAATAGCACAGTTTCTCGTGCCCACAGCATGAACAGCCCTCTGCTATCTACAAAGAACTTCTTGGTAGCAGTGCTTCATTTTGTTGTTGTTAAGCCTCCCTGCCCCAGGTAATAGCTGTCAAGTGCAGTGACTGCATTTATAAGTAATCGTGGCAGCCAATTTGCTCAAGGCAAGATCCCAAAGCAGCCATGATGGGAATAACCAATCTATCTGGAATCGATTTTTCGGGTGTGTCGCAAGACCTTTAACGTCCACCTGTGCAGGCACAAGGGACCGTGTCTTAAGGTCTTATCTGAAGGACAGCACCTCCAACAATGCATTACTCCCCCCCATCTTAGTATAGCAGGTCAAAGCCTAAATGTAGGATGTAAGTTGTAGAACCCACAACTTCTGATCTAGTGTGAGAACATTAGTAACTGAAGCAAGCTAACACTTGGATAGAATATTAGCCTCGACATGACACCACCAAAGGATAGACAGAGGCTAGAAATCTATAGGGTTTTGGTTTAAATGCTGCTTTACAATTGGATGTAAAACATTGTCCCATGTCCCACCCCATCCCGAAGATTCCCAATTGCTTTACTTTTCTACTGTGGTTTGCTTTCAATGACAGCAACCACAGCACCATAGCAGTGGTCAGTATTCACCTGCGAATCTGGAGTGTGAGCTTCTCTGGCTGTTCAAATAAACGGGCCTCACATGAGCAACTTCCAACTTTGATTGATTTGCCTCTCCAGCCCATTGCGCCAAACCCCAACCTCTGCCCTGGCTGAGATTAGCTGACACAGCAAAGATCAGGGTAGAACCAAGGAACTTCCAGTCCAGCATCACATAGTTCTGCAACAGGCACTGCTATTGCCCATAAAAAAATAGAGGGTGTTTTTGGTAGTGTCTTGGACAACAATTCTCCAGAAAAGTGGGCGTTCACTTTGTGGCTGTTTTAGGAGTGTTGCTACACATAAATAGCATCTACCTACACATGCACAGTCACTAAACTTAACAGTAATTTCCATGTGGAGCATTTTTGAGACGTTTAAGGCACAATGTCAAATGCAAGGATTATTATTATTGTAATAAGCTATTGACACAACAGGCCATCAAGACACAATTACAATCACTGCCACGGGCTGTGCTCGGATTCCACCGTGATCTGAACCTGCAACAGACGTGTGAGCTTGAATTAACCACCGCCATTTCCCATCTGTGCTATTCGATCAGAGTCTTACTTGCGATTTGATCTGAGCCGCTTTCTTTGGGTCTACCATGCGGACGTGCTCGAAATGTTTCAAAGTGTGCTGTCTATCTTTCTGCTCAGCCCGGATATACTTCTTCAGTGCATTGAGAACATGTCGGGGCTAGGAGAAAAAAGCCAAGTTATTTTGGTGGAACACACAACGCGCTCGATCCTGCGCCTGCTTTGTTTCGGACTCGAACCGAGAAGTCAAGGGGGGCGGGGGTAGGGGTTATAATTATCAACGTTCAGTGGGGATTCAAAGCAAATGTAATTCAGTAAGAGAAGCCATTGAGTACAATGCATGTTTGCCCTCTCATTTCCTTCACTCTTCGCTTTGAAAGCACCACCATGCCAGTTTCCTTCTGGTACATCGGGCAACTAGTTGTGCTTCATGTGCGAGTCGGAAGACGGTGTGAGCATCAAACAAGCCACTTGACAGCGATGGGCATTAAGGCTCGCTACGACCTGCTTACCCCCAACCCACTAGCCGCTGCCTCCACTTGACTAGCTCCCGTTTTCTGTTTGTCCCTCTTGCCCTCCGTTCCAAAATCAGCGGTCGCGCTTTCAGTCATTATGCCCCGAAACTCTGCAACACCCTCCCTCAATCCCCGTGCCTTACCCTCGCCTTCCCCAACTTCAAGTTGTACCTGAAGACCTTCCTCTTCGACCGTGCCTAGTCACCTCCACCCACCCCCAGCTTGGTGTTGTGGTCCGCCATTGTCAAGCGCTCTGGGACGCTAGCTTGTGTGAGGGACGCTTTATAAATGCAAGTTGTTGTAGTTGTTGTTACCAGTTCCAAATGGAAACCACTTTGGCTTCACTTACTCGTGGTGGATCAGCCTGCAGTGCAGCAAGGTAATTTTCCAGAGCAATGCGGCGCCTGTCATTCAGCATGGCTTCTACTCGTGCCATGTGGGTCTCCACCAATTGTTGTCTCTCGCTCGCTGCCTCCTGCTCCAGTGATTCCACCATCTCCTGGAAACGCTTGAGGGGGAACGAGAGAGGAACTTGCATCATTATAGTGCCCACAATATTGAAATGCTTCAAAACTCTTCACAGCGACCCTCTCTGTAGGCAAGCATAGCAGCTATTTTGTGACTCAGCAAAGCTCCATAAAGAGCCACAAGTGTTGGACGATCAATTCAGCCAGAGGATTATTTTCCAACAGCATGAAATGATCTTTAACGTCCACTCGAACAGGCAAACAGAAGCTTGGTTTCACATCTCAGCTGAAGTGCAATGCCTCTGAGAATGCAGTACACCCCACGCAGTACTTCACTGGAATACCAGCTTTTGAACTCAAGTCGTAACGTGCGGCTTGAACCCGCATTCGTCTGCCCCAGAAATGAGTGCTACCAACTGAGCCAAGCAGATGCCTGATGTAAATTACAACGGATTCTAGATTGTACTTCTGTAAAGATTGCACAATTAAATGGGTGGTTTTAAAATTGATACCAATGACATGGTCTACACTAGTGTTGGGACATTCTCAAATACTAATAATCTTTTCATTTGATATAGTGCATTATCACATCATTGAGACGTCCCAAAGAACTTCACAGGATATACTGTAAAGTGGATTGACTGTATTTTGTGGGCAATATCCAACAAACATCCATGGAGTGAGTGACCAATTTTATTTGGGGGAATTGTTGGCCAGGACACTGGGAGAAACTCATTTTTCTTTTCAGAATCTTTAACCTGACCAGACCTCGGTTTAACATCTCACCTGAAGGATGGAGCCTCTGACAATGCAATACCCCCCAGCGCTGCATCGGGTGTCATCTTAAACTATGTGGTTCCAAGTCCCGACGTGGGACTTGAACCCACAACGTTCTGACTCAGAGGCGAGAGTGCTACCAGGCTGACAAATTAGAGGTGTTGTCCTTCAGGATGAATCCTACTGAAACGCTTTAGAGAATCATGCGTTTTCAACACCCAGCAGCTACTGCAGATCACGCTTACCTGAATGACAGCCTTTTTGTCAGCCTTGTGCAGATTTCTAGCTTGACGCTCTGCTTCTTCCCACTCCCTCATTATCTAAAGAGGACGAGTGCAAGAGATTTCTTAATTTTAAGAAGAATCGAAGCATTAAAGGACAATAAGATATCTGTACCATTTCGGAAAATTCAACATCAAAAACTACTTCACTGAGAAGAAATATGATCAAATCAGTCTGAATTTTACACACTTGATTCATTAAAGAGAATTGTGGGGTTTGTGATGTAGAATATAATAATATAAAATAATTCTTGCAGTTGTTTGAGTGCCTTATCACATTGAAATGTCGCAAAGCTCTTCACAGCAAGTATTAAGTGCCGTGCCTGTGTATTTGTAGGCAGCAGACAATTTTACACACAGCAATGGCCCACAAACATGGAGATAAATGACCAATTTAACTGTTAGCTAGGAAACCGTGAGAAATTTCGCTTTTTGAACAACATCATAGGATCTTTAACATCCACCTAAATGGGCAGATGGGAGCTCTGATCAACATCACATCCGAAGGATGGCACCTCTGATAATTCTGCACTCCCTAATGCTGTGCTGAAATGTCAGCTTAGACCATGAGCCAAAAGAGACTTGAATACACAATCTTCTGACTCAGAGGCGAAGAGTGCTGCCAACTCAGTTGAGCAGAGACGAATGCTGCAATGCAACAGTGGAAGGATTTTGTTAATCCTCCCCCAATCTCTGTCGCGAGATCCTGTTTTAGCCACAACACTGCATGGAAGTGCCAGATGGAAAGCAAGCAGCTCCTTGTCAATGATAAGGTGGTAGGAAACAAAGACCACAAGGGAGTGCAACCCATTTTGGCAGCATTTCTCCAGACTAGGCTATTTATTAGGATTAGACCACACCATTGGAGAACTAAACATATGGACAAGAGGCCATTCAGCTCATCGAGCCTGTTCTGCCAATTTATTAAACAATGACAGATATTTTAAATCCATTTCCCTTAACACCCTCACTCCCTGAGCATCTAAATGCCCTATTGATAATGCCAATGTAACAAGACAAATTGGCACAGGTCTAGGATGGTGAAGGACAGTTTCAGTTGAGATGCCCGGAAGCATCTCTTTGCTGCACAATAGCTGGAATCAGTTCAGGGAAGGGTAGGTGAGGCCAGAGTTCTGGACAGATTTAAGAAACAAATGAGATGGGAAGATGGTTGGGAGAGGATGAGATTAACTTGGCCAGAGTGGCTTTTCCTGATCCATGCCACTCTTGTGATGCCGTCAACACGATTGTGAAGACACAGGGAATACAAAGCAAAATAAACCTACCTGCGACATGCGCTCTCTGTGTCTGGCTTCCTGCCTCTCCTTTGCCTTCTGGAAATAAGCATGTTCATTCTCATCTCCCGGGGTCTCGAGATACTGGTCTATAGCGTCTGGAGTGCTGGCGGCTGTAGCAGGGACTAAGTAGGTGGGAGAGGAAATTATAAAAATGATCTTAACCTTAAGCTCCATTAAAGTGCATCTTAAAAAAGGAGGCTCACTAATCCGTCTGTGTGTTGAACTGAATGTCTGTGATTTCAGTCGGTAATCTTGAGCTGTGAAACCCTGGAGTATATGATGGATTCATAACCAGGGTCAGTTAGATTAACATGATAGGAAATGTTCAAACACTTCAGAGAGATTGCCCTGAACTAACCATTCAACCCTCTTGAGAGGCTGCCCTGGATTAACAGTGTCAGAGAACAAGCTACATTGGCTTCACCTTCCCAGACAGCTCACTTACACTGGAATCATGGGCTTCACGAGTCTCCCACAAGTAGCTTTCATTCAGACAGAAAGCAATCCCAGTTTGTTATTCAGTCAGTCAGAAATACACGTTATAGAACCGGTCTCGGCAATGAAACTGCACCGATCCATTTGTATGTCTCTGCACATGTGCTGATTTTTACACTTGTGTGGTATGTGCATGTGCATTTGTGTACAATGTGCACGTGGTGCATGTGTGGCCTGCATGCGTGTGGGAAGGGAGGTATGTATGCAGAGTTGAAAGCAAAAAACAGAAGTCAAAATTTGTTGGCAGAAGTGCAGAGCATGAGCTGGCAAAGACCACAGCTGGAACCTCCGACTGGACATTCGACTGGAAGCAAAACAAGCAAGACGTATGATTTCAACCCAGATAATAGACACAGACAGAAAAACTCTTGGGATTTTGAATACTTTGCAATGAAATGAATTAGGAAGAGGAGGATTTTACTGGATTTGTGCTGTGTGAAATAATGGATCTAGATAACCCTCTCTTTTTTTTGCTTGCTGGAGGCAAAGAATATTTAAATGCTCCATGTGTTATTGAGAAACAATTCTGACTAGGTATAGTTTGATCCCATTATAAACAGGGCAATTCAATCTTGAAATATCTGTCGCAGTGTACCTGTTGAATCTGTTGAAATATCAGGTTGGTATTTATAGGCTGTACAAAAGTGTGAACAGTGAGAGCACACAAGGAAACCCTAATCAGCTTCAAATCCCTTCGTGAAAAAAAACAAGCACACTGGCTTCACCTTCTTACAACCCTCAAGCCACAAAATAATAGCTAAACGTAGATCGATATGATAGTCAGTCCTTCTAAACAAATGCAGTGTCACCTCCTTCAATGCAAGCCCATAGAGCCACTCCCTCAATACAAAACACAAATCCTTTAGAAAACTTAAATCACATTTTATCCTTCAAGATTACAGGAGGCAACAGGCACACAAAGATTTAAAACTTTGTCCCTGACAAGTTCATTTCAGCAAGAAACTACAGCAAAAGTTTGGAGAGGGCAAAAAAAAAAGGAACAATTGACAAAACAAAGCAGTAATGCTAGTCTCTCTTGGATTGAGCCAACGGGAAGAATGGTTCTCTAGGAGCTGAGCCAACAGAAAAGGAAGCAGTCAACTGCAACAATGACTGAAACAGGAGCAAGGCAGAGAAGTATTTAAGGATGTCAGCACCACTGGGCTCATGTGCTCATTTTTATTAGCGTGAAAGAAAGGTGTGATAGACTTCAGGAGCTTTCACTTTCCTACTCCCTGGGCAGAAAGAGGGCAAGTTGCCAAAGGCCATTGCTCTATAAGCTCGTAGTGGAGGAGAATGTGGAGAAAGGAGAATAAAGTATGATAATGGGAGGATGGATGCCTCAATTAGATCACATCAAGATTTGGATTCCTCTGATATTCAGCCAAAAGCTACACCTCACGGCAAGACTAATTGACATCGCACTCTGAGATGTCACAAGTTTCTCTTGAAACTCTCATATAGGAAATGATTAAAACTGCACAAAAACACCTAGCACCATCTCAAACCATTACTCAAGTTCAAACCAATAGATTTGCCACTGACAATCTAGAATATGGAGATGACGCATCCATAAGAACAAAGCTAAAGGATTTGAAGTACAGAAATATGAAAAATATTTAACTAAAGATTCCAGGAGTCCGGTCAGACAAAACCCACATGCTGTTTCTTGAAAAAAGACAGACTGAGCATGGCACTGATCCGAGGAGCAACATTTGCATCATGCCACCATCCAATGTTACTTAATTTGGCAAGTAAGTAAGTCCTGGCTCCGTGCTTGGAAATGGTTGGCTAAACACGGCAGAGCTGAGGTATCTGTCCATACCTATCCTTGGTTGTGCACTACACTGCTGTCATAAGAGAAACACAAGTGCATGTGATAGTGAAAGATGAAAATAGATCCTAAATGGTGACCCAAAAAACATAGCCATAAAAAGCAGTTAGATCTGAATCAGGGCAGTGGTGGGCCACAGCAATTTGCCTCAAGATGCTTGGAAAAGCATGAGAGGATAGGAAAGAAATCACAACATGATTCCCACTCTAGATTTCTCTAACGATTCCCTTATATGAGTTGTAAGCAAAGATAGAATCCCATTTTGTTGTGTTGTTCACAAGCTCAAATTCCCCTGATGTCATAATCTACAAAAGGGATGCAATTCAAGTCACTGTCCCTTATGATGCAGGAGACATACAAGCTGGGGCTTCACATGTTTCCTATTAGAGCTTAGTACAAGAACAGATACAAGACGCTTAATGCGTCTCCTCCCTAACCTGCACCCTAGACACTGGGAGTGGACAGTGGCTGAAGGAATTATGTTACGAAGGATGTGCTTCGCAGGTGTAGACTCAATCAATGAACAACATAGGTTTCAGGAAAGATAAACAGTCCAAAGTAGACAGTCAGGTCAGGTCCTAAATTAAGAGCTTGAAGACTGAAAGTATTAATTGGGCTGAATGACCTTTTCTCATCCCCATGTTCTTAAATTAAACAGGTTAGCTAATCCGAAAGCTCCACAATTAAGGTTCTATATTCAATCTCCAGTTGGTAATGTATTTAAGAATGAGAGATTTGGCATGAATTAACAGCATCACAGTTTGTAAGCAAAGCTTGTAAAAGTTGGGTAAAATGTTTGCAAAGGGGATTCAACTGATTAAAGATTAGCAGTTCAGAAGACTTTTAAAAGCAACAACTGAATGTGAGTCTTAAGAAAAGTTAGAATCCTACTTGATTGTGTTGTTCTCAAGCTCAAATTCCGAGTCATTGCCCTGGATTTCTATTCACTAATATTCATGTATCCAATGCTCTATTTTGTGGTAGGACCATTTCAAGTTCAGCTGAAAGTCAATGGCAGCTCCACTAGTCTTGTACACGTGGATCAGATTCTCTTGTGTTCCATCCTGGTCTTCAATAAGTCAACCACCAAATTCACCTGGATTCTAATCTCAGAATAAGTTACTGGACCCCTGAGGAATTTTATAATTAAATTTAAGGGAAATGGGTTTAAAAGTCAGCCAAAATCCCCCTGTGCTGTTTTTATTGTCTTCCTAGTTACACTTTTCCTTGTGAATTACAGGCACTGAATGCGAGAGGAACACTAGTGATGGGAAATGGAAAGCTGTGCTGCTTTCTGCATCCAGGACATCAAGGGCTTCTCGGTCAGGTACACAGTACAGTTCCTTTTCCAAAATCTCAACAATCCCCAACTAGTAAAAAGCACCTTCAGAGGAGGAATAAGGGAGAACATTTATTAGGGAAATAAAACCGTACTGAGCTTGAAAGGCATTTTTGGCCCGAATTTGCTCATTTTTTAGATAAGCAACACACTCTAGAATTGAGCATTTCTGGCAAACAAAACTTACTTTACTTTTTTTAGTGTGTGTGTGTGGGGGACGGGGGGGGCGAAGAGAACAGAAAGAGCATGAGAGAGCATAATTTTCCTTCTCCCTCCAAGATACCATTTTGAACAGTGAATAAGGCAGGTGTTAAGAACAAAAGCTATAAATGGCTCCAGATCACACAGATGTTTGCTATAAATTAAGTTTCTTTCCCCCCCCTCTCCTCCTCAGACATTTCTCAAACCTTTGATGTCTGACCCATGCTGCCACGAAGTGAAAGTATGGAAACAATGGTTGAACTGGTTGAGCTTTGCTAAAGGTAAAGGAATTCACACCTGGCAATGGAAACTCAGACCTCATTAACTGTCCAGTGCTACTTAATGGCTCCAAAGTGTTTTGGTAATTTCAGTTAACATCCTATTGAAGGTGAATAGATCATACCGTTCTATTATATGCACCATTTAATGCCACTTTTTAACAAAACATTAAGAGATGAGAGTGAAACGGTTGTTTTTCTGATTGGAGGGAACTGTGCAGTCGTGCCCCCAGAGGTCAGTGTTGGGACCACCGCTGTTTTTGATCTATATAAATTACCTGGACCTGGGTATAGGGAGTACAATTTCCAAGTTTGCAGATAATACTAAGCTAGGAAAAGTAGTAAACAGTGAGGAGGATAGTAACAGTCTGCAAATGTACATAGACAGACTGGTAAAATGGGCAGACACGTGGCAGATGATGTTTAATGTGGAGAAATGCAAAGTGATGCATTTTGGGAAGAAGGAGGACAGACAATATAAGCTGATGGTACTTTCTTAAACCGGGTGAAGGAACAGAGAGACCTGTGGGTTCATATAAGTTCATCTTTGAAGGTGGCAGGACAGGTAGATAAAGTTGTTAAAAAAGCATACGGGATATTAGGCTTATAAATAGGGGCATAGAATACAAAAGTCAGGAAGTTATGATAAACCTTTATAAAACACTGGTTAGGACTCAGCTGGAGTACTGCGGTCAGTTCTGGGCACCACACTTTAGAAAGGATGTCAAGGCATTGGAGGGGGTGCAAAGGAGATTTACCAGGATCGTACCAGGAATGAAAGACTTCAGTTATGAGAAGAGGCTAAAGAAGCTGGGTTTATTCTCCTTGGAACAGAGAAGCTTCAGAGGAGACTTAATAGAAGTTTTCAAAAATGAGGGGTTTCGATAGGGTGGACAAGGAGAAATTATTTCTACTGGCGGGTAGGTCGGTAACTCGAGGACACCGATTAAAAATAGTTATTAAAAGAAACAAAGAGGGAGGTGAGGAGAAATGTTTTCACCCAGCAAGTTGTTCGGATCTGGAATGCATTGCCTGAAAGGGTGGTGGAAGCCGATTCGATAACAACTTTTAAACGAGAACTAGATAATTATTTGGGGAGGACAAGTTTGCAGGGCTATGGAGAGAGCGCGGGGGAGTGGGATTGAATTGGATACCTCTTCTCAAAGAGCCTGCACAGACACGATGGGTCGAATAGTCTCTTTTTGTGCTGTACAATTCTATGATTCTAGGAATCTTGTTCAGCCATTTTTTTTTAAATCTACCTTGTTAAATGTTCTCAACACTATATCAAATTAAGGATTTTATTATTATTAAAATCCTTACATTTCCAGCTCCTTGGGACGTCCTCCCGACATGAAAGGCGCTAATACAAATGTAATCTTGTTGTATTACTGTTATTAATAAAGGCAATCTCCACACTCTGTAGACATGTACCAGTAACAAATCATTGGCCAAAAGGGAGAGCTCCCCTTTAAAGTGATCAACTTCCCTCACAGGTGGCTCTTTAGTGAGTTTTACCACTCGTTCCCACCTTATTCCTTTTGGCTTAGATGGTCCTGCCTGCACAAGCAGCTTGCCTGGGTTCCCAAAGGTATGCTGCAGTTTTAGCTGGTTCAACTCCTATTATATCGCAATGCACGCTCTGGGGTCTTGGTTCTTGCCTACCTGCACCTCCAGGGAGAGGGTGCACTCCATACCAGATGAATGGAAACCATTCATATGGAGTAGACTTCAACCCCACAATGGATGTGCGAAGGATGAAATAGGTTTTCAAGAGCTACAATACTTTATAGTGAGACAATGAGCTCCAAAGTCTTATGGAGGGGTGGGGTGGGGGGTGGGGGGGGGGGGGGAGATGTAGAGAGGACAAAGACTCTTACACTGCTGAGAAACTTTTAAGTCACTGTTCAGAGACTTATCACAAAAGGAATTACTTACACCTCAACAAGTCTTCACTGGAGTGAAGGACAGGTTAACATTACGAATTCTTGGTGAGGCAAAAGCATACTCAGCATTTTTTAAAAAAAAGACAGATTCCTTATATAACACAATTTCCTCTCTGTTTGCAGCTTGTTCTCCCCCCCACTCCTTCCCTGCAATGCAAAGCAGCTGTCTTAATTACTCAAGTCCAGCCACCGCACACTCACTTCAAACACTGCCGACCTGTTCCCACTGGCGAGAAATATGAAAGAACGATGCACTTTAACATTACTTCACTGCACTTGGATCAGTGCAATCCACCGTGGAGAACTGCAGGAAGTGCTGGAAAAGTAGGTCAAGTGGTTCCGCACATCATGGGTTTACATCTCCGACACGCAACTTTGTTTTAAGCAGAGAAGTTAAAGGTTAATAAACCAAGAGGTTAAATGCTGCAAGCAAATCCTAAAATCTACAGAAGAGTTAAGAAGTTAGCATCCTAAAGGCAAAATTATGTTAACAAAACACACTACATATATATACAAGTGTGTAGAGAGAATTTATCAGATAGCAGCTAAACGGGAATCAGGTTAAAGAAATATCAGAGCGATGAGATCCACTACAGCAGGTGTTAGTTGGTAAGCAGTGGTACTATCCTTGTGGCTGGACAGTAGAGCTGGCTGAGGCATTCAGTGCCCAGAGCCACACAGAAACTGCAACCAGGCAATGGGTTCACTTACTGACGCTGCTACAGACTGACAGACAGTACTCTTCCGAGTCGAAGTTGTTCCTGTTCCCTCCGCAGCCTCCGTAAATGAACTGTGCGCATTTTCCTTCACCAATGTCAAAGTACCACCGGGGAATCATCGCTCGGCAGGGCCCAGTCTCCGCTTGCTCAGAGCAAACTTCTGAATACGAAAGATGCGAGCATTTGTCAGTCAAGAAGAGGGAAACAAATCTGCAAATACAATCCGCCCTTACATTGTTTGGGATCTGCAGCATGTATACAAGAGCAACCTTACTTCAAAAACCTGATTGCAACAACTTGCACTTATACATCACCTGTCACACAGGGTAATGTCTCAATCCTTCAGAAGCATTTTGCAGGGTTGGCATGGATTGCAGACCAAAGTGGTGGGGGAAAAGAGAAAAAGAGTAGGAGGGAAAGATGACTGAAAGGACGTTCAAAAAGAAAGTGATTGAAAACATGGGATAAAGGCTGTGAGGTTAGGGATTTTGGACAGGTGTTTGGATTTTGGACAAAATGCTTGTCAACTTGTTTCTCATACCTGGAGCATTTCACTGCTTTGTGTATCGCTTAAAACCAAATTGTTACCAAAGCTAAGGTACTTTTAAAGTTTACCATCTGCCAAATAAGATTGGGCAGCAGCACCACTTGACTTCCAAGAGCAATTTATCGCTGACCCATGCAGCCAACAAATCCTCTTTAGAAGCCAAGGATGGGGGCGAATTCATAAGCCCACGCGCCCCTTTCATGCTGAGAATAGAACAGAATCTTTAACATTTTCAGCACAGGAGACGATCATTCGGCTTGTCATGTCAGTGGTGTCTGTGCTGGCTCTTTTAAGAGCAATCTTCTTCGGGCCCATTTACCTGTTCCTTCCCCCATACCCCTGGCACAAGCTGTGGTCGTGGACAGCATACTTGTGAAAAGGGAACAAGCCACACAGCCTGGGATAGCTGGAATCCCTCGGGAGCTTTGGAATCAGGTGAGACAACTGATCACCAACTAGCGCTGTGTCCTCTGTAAAATGCGTTGCACTACTGTAATATAGATTCTGCGACAACCACACTTTTGGATACAGAATTACGTGTCACGACGACAGGCTGTAAATCGACCAGACAGCATGCTAAGCAAAGTAGGCATGGTTACACAGCTCCAAGTAGGCAGTTGCACAGCACAAGATAATCAAGAACAACTTCCACAAGCTCACAACACAGGCTGCTTGCGGCTTGACTGATCAGGAGTTGCCCTGAACGTTTCGGTCTGAATGCAACACGCGTGGTTGCGCCAGCAATCAAAGCCAAATATGAAATCTGCATGACTTCACAATGGCTTTGCAAAAGGCTCTTTTTTTTTGGCAGGGTGCTAACTTTTCTTGTTCAGACTAGTTCCAGAGTTAAATGGTCCATCTGTCTCCGAACCAGCAAGTCAATTACCTGAACACTGTAGAATTTTATTGAAAGGTTTGGCAAGAATGGTCATGCTTCCTTCCTATCAGGTACAACCCACCCTGGCTTGGTTCCTCCAAAAATATAACGCCACACCAGTGAGAAGGATGGCATGCGAGTCAAATGTCCACAGGGAGACAGCGTGTTAAAGAAATGAATAAGAGCACATCTGCAACCGCCAGCAATCAAAGCCCAATGTTCCAACTTCACTGCACAAGCTGAGCGGCTGAGGTGAAATCAATTTCTGATCCATTCGTACGATCAAAACCTTTAAGGGCAGGGTTGAGGATTAGAATCACAATTTTATGCGTGTGTTTTCTTCCATCGGGGGGAGCATGAATTTATACTGTATTAGGCAATCAAGTCATAAACAGGGGTTTCAAAATTCCAAATAATTTCCATATTCCCTAGTTATGCTGCTATAAAAGGATCCTTAAATCAAGCACAGATGTTACTTGCAACAAACGACCTATGAAATCTGATGGCTTTAACAGGCACAAAGGAACTATTTTCAAAATTGTACTTTCTAAAATTTTGATGCTAGAAGGTTGCCTTGCTGGTGTTAATAAGACTTTGGCTCTCCCAAGCAGAGTAGGACCCATTCCGTTAATAATAAGAGCACAGTGTTATCTTCTTCCACGGGGCGCTTTCAGTCACCCAGTTACCACCGAATTCTAGTTCACTGGTAAAGGGGTGTTGCAGCATTACAAAGGGACAAACAGAGGGACAAAGTGCAGTAACAGATGTGTCAGTTTTCGTACAGCCATGTGAAAGTATTCTCTCTTTGCAACTGCAGTTTTGCTTGCAAACTTACCGAGATTTTCCAACAAATAAGTTGATGTCGCAGTGTGAAAATCGACACAAAGTTTGATCAATTCGGTAGAGCTGTTATTGTGCAGCTTGTGTAATCCACTGAAGTGGAAATCACCAGTTTAGTGCCACATATAAAATTGAGTTATTCTTGCTACTAGCCGCCCGCAATTTGTCTTCTGCTTTTTATGCCTTTAGTTATAAGTCATTACGCTTTTATTGTAAAATGAGTAGAAATTATTGATGCTCTGCTAATCGACCAAAGGCACCGGAGAGCAGAAATCAAGCAGAAAACACAGTTATAAGTGACGGGCAGGGAAAAGATGATCAGTTTTTCATTAATCCTTTCATCAGCCTGGTTAAAAAAATACATCTGTATTATTCATAGGCATTCGGTCTACTGCAGGGCTAAGTCATATGATGTGCGTGGGCTGCATGGCGCAGCAGATGCAACAAGGAACAGATTCTAAGAGAGGTGGAGGGGGGGGGAGAAGACTCAAATCCTCCCTCAAATGAGTTTGTTAACCCTGCCCCCCCCCCCAACTTCCCCCCACCCCCTCACACAAACACTGGCAAACACATCCACAAGCCCCCCACTCCCAGATCCATTGCATAACACCCAATCCTCCCCCCACCCAAAAAAACCCACCATTCAGGCCCTCTCCCGCACCCCACAATCATACATATATTCTCCGCCAAAAAAGAGCTTTCTTTCTTCACTCATGAAGGATAGCAGAGTGCAGAGGCTATGGGCGAATCGGCACTGTAATGATGGAAGGTGACCCACCGCTCTCCCCCCGTACACACACACACACACATCGATATGTCATTGAGTGTCTCCGCTGTTCCACTTTAGAAATGGGGAGGTGGAAAGAAAGAGTAAAACGAGCAAAGTGGCTTCCAGTGCATCTCGACGAGAAAGGATCATAACTTGGGTGGGGAGGGGAAATAGGGAATGCTGAGGTCATGCTAATGTGACCCCTTTACTCCCGCATCCTCCCATCACCATCACAAAAAAATCCTCCTGTTGATGAGTTCCTCATCTCAGCTGGAGCAAATCTGTATCAAGACATCAACCACAGGGGTATGAGGGAAGGATCAGGTAAAGGGGCCTGAAGAAGATTGCTCTTAAAAGAGCCAGCACAGACACGATGGAACCAATGCCATTCTTCAGTACTGCAAATTTAAATATAGAAAAAATATAGAACTATAGAAACAGGAGAAGGCCATTCAGCCCTTCGAGCCATTCTATAAGATCATGGCTGATTAGCATCTCATGTCCAATTACCTGCTTTTGCCTCATATCCCTTTATACCCTGACGTAACAAGTATCTATCCACCTCAGTCTTGAAAATGTGAAAAGATCCAGCATCAACAATCTTTTGGGGGAGAGAGTTCCAGATTTCCACTACCCTTTGGGTGAAAAACTGCCTCTTGATTTCACTCCTGAATGGCTTAACTCTAATTTTAAGATTATGCCCCCTTGTTCTGGATTCCCCTACCAGAGGAAATAGTTTCTCTGTATCTACCCTATCGAATCCCTTTATTATTTTGAAAACCTCAATCAGATCACCCCTCAACCTTCTAAACTCAAGGGAATAGAGACCAAATTTATGCAACCTGTCCTCATAATTTAAGCCCTGGTATTATTCTGGTGAATCTGCGCTGCAGTGGGGGCTGTGCAGATTCCGCTCGTGGGAGGAAAGAGGCAGAGCACTTAAAAAAAAATGATGCCTTTGAGAAAAGCAATAGGCTAAAATACCCTCCAGATTTTGAATATGTTGCAATTAAGGGTCCCTATTGAACCATCTCAATATGCATGTACAGCTGCAGTGATTTACTTACACACTGTTTAACAATAATAGTGTCATTTGATATGGCATCCTGTCACGCTGAGATGGCTCAATGGGTTTCCATGGAATTTCCTGTAGTGTAGTGACTGTACATTTGTAGGGAAATGCACCAGCCAATTTGCGCATAGCAATATCCCACAAACAGCCATGATGTAACCAACCAATTTTGTTTAGTCAATTGTTGTCCAGAACACCAGGAGAAACTCCCTACTCTTCTCAAATATGGGGTCTTAATCAATAGCAACAACTTGCACTTACATAGCGCCTTCCAGAGCCGGGGGGGGGGGGGGGGGGGGTGTGGCTGTAAGCATGGTTGAAGAGGAAGATCTTCAGGCAGGTCTTGAAAAAGGAGAGAGAGGGGGCAAGGCCAAGGGATTGAGGGAGAGTGTTCCAGAGTTTAGGGATGTAGTGGTTGAAAGAGTGACCTCCGATGGTGGGGCGGATGGTGCGAAGGACAAACAGGATGCCCCAGGAGCAATCATCCACCTGAGGCAGATGGAACCACTGTTTAATGTCTAATCTGAAGGAAGGTATCTCCAACAACACAGTGCTCCCCCAGCACTGCATGGGAGCATGAGATTGTGAGCTCAGAATCCCTACAAGAGGCTTGAAATCACCACCTTCTGACTCAGATGCGTGAATGCTCTCAACGGAGCCAGGCTGACTGTTTAATGAATGAAAAAGACAACTACTGAGTAAGAAAAATCTAGATGCAAATTTAATAAAAGTTATTCCATTCCTCCCCCACCTCCCCACCCATGATTTTGTTTGTGAGATTAGTGGCCAGGGTTAACCTAGCCATTCAAACACAGTTGTTAGGTTTGATTACCGTTCTGATCCTACAGGCCTGTGAGCAACCCCAGAACAGGGCAAACCTATGCAATCAAAATTGGTAGCCATCAAAACAAATGCTTCACGTAAGTTAGTGTCAAACCCTCCTTTCAACTCCCCTACCTCCTCGGACACAATTGGGAAAAAACTACTGATTGAGTCATTTGAAACTTGCATTTTCCAACGAACATACATTTGAACATTAACGCTTGGATTAAGTCAACATCGTGAATTTCAGCCCTCTCCCGCCCCCATAAATACCTCAATTCCCAGATTCAAATATGTCAAACCTGAATGGGATGTGGCCCTTATTAGATCCATCTTGTTAGCCACCAAATATTTTGAAGAACTACAGGCCACAATTATCCCTTGTATATTTGTTTGTGATCCCATTCATTGGGTTAACCTTACACCACCCATTTCAAAGATGTAAACTTCAATGTGCTTATTTAGCTCCAATTACCTCGCACTACTTCCTCAATGGCCTCTGTGGTGGTTGTGGTGCTGCTGGTGGTGTGTTCAGTGGGGTCCTCATACTGATCATCATCTTCATCATCCTCGTCCTCCTCCTCATCATCATCATCCTCGATGTCCACCTCTTCCTCCTCATCCATGGGCTCCTCTTCGATCACTTTGTCCCTGAAACAGAATTGAGAACCGTGTTACTACAGCTTGTTGAGTTTCTAGTAAACAAAAATGATATCCTATTCGATAAATTACAGTTGCGTCTTAAGATGGTGTTAGCTCCTCTGCTGGAGCTATCCGTTCAATTCACAAATGCCTGCTTTTTACACTCCCCCTCATGTTGCTCTTCAAATACAATTCCCTTTTAGATATCGTTCTGCTCTCAACTTGAGAATGACTTGTGGCAAAGCATTCCAAGTTCAGACAACCCAAGGCATGAAACTCCTAAACTCACCTGCATTTCCTCCAGTGACAATCTGATTGCATAATAATAATCCTTGCATTATTGCAATAATCTGGAATGCACTGCTTGAAAGGGTGGTGGAAGCAGATTCGATAATAGCTTTGAAAGGGAATTAGATATTTAAAAAGGAAAAAATTGCAGGGCTATGGGGTAAGAGCGGGGAAGTGGGACTAGTTGGTGGCTCTTTCAAAGCGCTGGCACAAGCATGATGGGCTGAATAGCCTCCTTCTACGCTATACAATTCCACGATTCTATGATTTGATATTGCATCTTTCACGTCAGGAGAATGCCTCAAAGTGCTGCACAGGATTTATTGCAAGCTCCTATGTACAGCTTCCATCCATGCATATTTCAGAGCTACTCTAACACTCCCATTAACCAGTCAGAGCAAAGGAATTTAACTCCCGAGTGCAACCTATCCGTAAAAAAGGAAACGGTCATAAAAATACACAAATAGAAACAATGTTTACTTTAGACTTACATACTTTGGCACGTCCCCCGGATGTGAAAGGCACTATATAAATGTAAATTGTATTGCATGGACTCTATGCCAGGTAGCAGTACATGAACTGCAGTTTGCTCAATCAAATTAAATGGGTTATTCCCACTGGCAAGGTCATAAATACAAAGGCAGCATAGAAGGCCATCTGTGTCTGTGCAGCGTTGCCTCCTCAATGACACATTGATCTAATCCCATTCCTCCTACTGTTTCCCAATTGTACATGTGCTAGCGCTAGCTACCCCCACTGAAGCCATCGACTCTAAAGCCCTTCCCCCTGCTCTTGCCCCATTGTGCCTGTGTCGTGCTGGACCCACTGGAGCCATCGACTCTAATCTCCTTTCCGTGAAGCTTTCACCATCACCTTTAATTTTAAGCTTCGAGCGTTTAACTAATTTTTATTAAGTCTCACAATTGACACAGCTTCAACAGCCATTTACACCGAGGAAATTCCACATCATAAAAATTTATTAATCAAATGGAAAGAGACAAAAAGAATCATTAATTCTTTGTCCTTTGATATTTTGGAACTGTTTAGATAGAAAATGTGTTTCTCCCCCCTCACACAAAGCTAAATTTATTTCTATACATTTCTCACCAATTTTTGCCCGACTCTTTTGACAATGCTAAATCTTTTCGGGGAGTAAGACCCATTCAAACCACAGGGCAATCCTTCAGTACCTTGCCTGAATGGCGATTGCACAAGGGTGAACTTGGATTGCAGCTGAATGCATTGCATCTGAGCACAATCTGATTCTGTACATATGTCCACACAGGTTACTGCACCAGATGAGTTGAAATCCTAGTTTTTTTTTGCCTTCCCCAAAAATAAATAAAGCAATCCCACAAATTTGAATAGTCTGGCAATGACTAGAATGGCAAGGACAAGATGACACAGAACACAGTCTAGACCAGTGGTGGCCAAACTCTGGTCTGCAGGGTCAATAAGGAGCACCCCCACACCCCCCCCCCCCACCCACCGAGTCTAGTTAAGGCCATGTTCGATCTCTTGTGTGTTTTGTTTTTTCTTGATTGAATATTCTTGATTGATGGCATAAATCAAGGAATATTCAACAAAGAACGTTTAGTTTGTTAGGTGCACATAACGGTTCGCCACCACGGGTCTAGAAAGTACTGATACACACTAATCACAAGAATCAAGAAAACAGTGAATAATAATCATTGCATTTTATAAAGATTCTATGTCAAGGTCAATGAAAACATGTCAAAGCTCTTCATAGTATTTCTGTAAGGTGTACTGACTGTGTACTTTGTAGGAAAATGTAGCAGCCAATTTGCGCACAGCAATATCCCATAAACAGTCATAAAGCAAATTTTATCTGGGGGGCGGGATTGTTGGCCAGGACACCGGGACAAACTCCCTTCTCTCTTTGAATGATACCATGGAATCTATAACATCCACCTGACAGGCACAGACAGGAACTCGGTTTAACGTCTCATCCAAAGCACGGAACCTCTGACAATGCACTGGAGTATCAGCCTAAATTAGGCGCTCAAAGTGCTGACACGGGGCTTGTCTTAAAAGCATTGGTCTTTGCAAATAAAATTACAAAAAGATGTACAATTCCAGTTTCAGTAGCAACTTGTGGTGATGACTTTCACACGTCGCATTGAGTGCAGCAGCTATCTGCTACTAGTGGTATGATACCTTATTTATTTCTTGAGTAATTAATGGTTTAGTGAAGCCTGACGGGAGCTGCTATTAAGCTGTTCTGGCCATCTGTCACTGTAAGTATTAGATAACATTAATACCTTGGTTTGAATATTTACTTCTGTGTAGACAGTGTAAAGTGTGACATTTTTGGCTGCTCAAACATTTTCAAAACAGCAAAGATTTAATTTTATGTGAAACAATGCAGGACTTCAGATGAATGTTGCAATGGCAAGCAAATAGGATCTAGGGAAGAATGTTCAAGTGAACAAGCCTGCTCTCCTATTTTATTAGCTGGTGGTAGATGCCTGTTCAGGTCAACATTAAAGATCTCATGGCATGATTTGAAAAGAGAAAGGAATTTCTCCCGGAGTTCTGGCTAACTATCCCCCAAATAAAATTGATCACTCACTGCGTGGCCATTTGTGGGACACTGTAGTAAGCAAATTTAAGATGCCCTGACAACATGATTTATCAAATGCAAGGATTATCTATGTGGGGGTAAGGAAGATGAGAATAGTTCTGACGGTGGTCTATTACTCATTCCCCCCTCTCTCCAACCCAAGCCTTCTGCCGCTATGTTCCTGTTCTTTGCGACTCTCTCCCCAAATTCTCCCCAACATCCTTCAAAATGTTCCTTAAAAACGTAACTCTTCAACGGCGTCTTTGGTCAACACCCTCAACGTGACACTGAAATCTTATGGCGGACGGTGCAAGGCAACAAAACACATCAATCATTATCTCAAATTAAATCCTGGCTCTTTCCTGCAAAGCATTTCATCATGTTTGCAGCTGAAATAAGCAAAAAAAAATTCTAAATGTTCAATGCTCCTACAGGCACTGATTATACTTAACAGGATGCAAGAGGATTTTCTCAAATGAACAGGACCGAGTGAAGTACAGAAGAATCCCTTAACAATAGGAGAACATCTCTGCAGCAGCTGAATTGAATGAATCAAGCAAAGCCACATTTGCAAGCCTTAAAAAAAAACAATGGGAGAAAAATACTGTCCAGGTTTTATCCCAGGATTACTGAAAACAATTTTAAATCCTACTTTCAGAAGTGTTCGTCTTGTTTTAAACCGTATTTGAACCTTTGCGCAACTTGTCAAAGGTCGCAACCCAGTTAAAAGTGTTCACTGGCTTGAAATTCTACCCAGTTTTAGTCTGTGTCAGCTTTTTTTCCTAAAATTTAAGATTGGTAAAATGTAAGAATCATGGAAAATTCTTAAATTTAGTCTCCATTGGAATGCTAGCTTTCAGCAACTCTTAAAAGCAAACCGACTTGCAAATTGAAACTAATTTTAAGAATTTCCCACAGTTTTTAAATTTTAAGATAAAACGGGTACCAGATCGAATTTTGGGCCTCAGGATGTCAAGCCACAGTTAAACAGCATTACCAAAGTCTCAGGATTCACATAGAATTTTACAACAGAGGAGGCCATTTGGCCCATTGAGCATTCGCTAGCTCTCGGAAAGAACTATTCATTTAACCCAACTCCCCTACCCTTTCTCTACGCCCTTTTAATATCTTTCTCGTTCAAATATTTATCTGTAGACTTCAACATTTTGATGTCGTTGTCTAGCACGTATTAGCCATTAGATCTGTGTACTTTGGCTTGTAGGGTAGAGCTCATATCCATAACTCCCCCAAGTTTTACCTTGGATGACTGGATCTGCCCAGGGAGACATTACTCATCTTAATTCTCCCTCTCTCCCCCCCTTTGGGCTCCAAGTCAAACCCACTAACACAATATTTAGATGGGATATTCTGTACAAAAGCACAACTGCCAGCCAACCTGACACTGCAAACATTTCAATCCATTACATTAAGGTGAAAGGATTACAAAAATGGGCTGATATGTCAGAAAGGAATTTTAGGAAACCGCCAGATAAATTGGTCATTTGCTTTATGGTTGTTTGTGGGACTTTGTTGTGCGCAAAGAAATATTGCCACATTTGCTCACAAATGGCAACCATACATTGCCTCACAAATGTGGCAGTATTTCACTTCACTTGACAGCAAATGAGACATTGATGCATTATATCAAATGCAAGGATCATCAACGATCGATGTTCATTACTTCGTCCAATACAATCAGGAATGCTGCTTTTTATTATGGCAATAAATTGTGTGAGGGAGGGAGTAAGGAATGGGAGAAGATTCATGTGGAGTATAACCACTGGCACAAACTGGTTGGGCAAAGTGGCCTGTTCCTGTGCTGTACGTTCTTTGTAACCTTTGCAAGAACCATACATTGTAAGTATATAATAATAATCCTTGCATTTGATATAACAACAACAACAACAACATTCCATTTATAGAGCGCCTTTCACGTCAGGAGGACGTCCCAAGGCGCTGCACAGTTGGGTCATGACCCGAGCACGGGGGAAATGGTCAGGGTGAGGGGAGGGAAGGGAGGGAGAGAGGAGGGGGAAAATGGTCAGGGTGAGGGAGGGAAGGGAGGGAGTGAGGAGGGGAAGAGAGTCGAGAGGGGAGCTGAAGGCACGGTCAAAGAGAAAGGTTTTGAGACCGGCCTTGAAGGAGGAAAGGGAGGAAGCAAGGCGAAGGCACTGGGGGATGGAGTTCCAGAGCCTGGGGGCTGAGAGGCTGAAGGCCCGACCACCGATGGTAGGGCGGTTGGGGCGGGGGACGTGGAGCAGACCGGAGCCAGAGGAACGGAGGGTACGGGCAGGTAGGTAGGGGGATAGTAGGTTGGAGATGTAGGAGGGAGCGAGGCCGTGAATGGCCTTGTAGGTGAGGATGAGGATCTTGAAATCAACGCTTTTCACGTCTTCTAGACGTCCCAAAGCGCTTCACAGAATATACTGTAAAGTGAATTGACTGTATATTTATTATATAGATATATAGACTGTATATTTATATATAGATTAATCTGTCACATGTACCATTCATTCTCAATAGACAGGCACCAATCTTGTGCAGATTTGATTTGTTAACAATGAGGGTGAGTCGAGATTAAAAAGGAAGCTCCAATATCGAGAACCTCACCCGCCATCTGAATATTCAGCATCAGCTCCACCCCACCAAATGTACGAATCTTCCTCATCCACATCCACCGAGTCAACCTTCTCATTTTCTTCTGAAATGGGACAGCAGACAAATTCCACGCCACGAAACTGGTCAATTCCACAAGGAAGCAGCATACCATAGTCCTTCAGGTTCATGGTCTTGTCACCGCAGGCCTGGGCAGGCACACAGAATCAAAACACAAGAAAACACATACAAACATGAGTTTTGGGTAAAATTACCTAGAAACAACCCTAGCCTGACTCTCAAGTCTAGTGCTTGGGGAGTGTTGAACTGATATCGTCCTGTGGACGAGACATTGAAGGCATGAATCGTCAAAAGTCCATTCGGCTTTTGACGATTCATGCCACTATTTGAGAAGAAAAGGGACTTTCTTCCTATGTCCTGGACAATCCTCCAGAAACAAAATTGGTCATTCACTTCAGTTATTTGTGAGTCCCAGAAACTCCCTTCTCTTTTCAAATAATCCAAAAGGCACAATGAGAGGCTTGTGCCCACAATCCTTGCTCAGACGTGAGCATGTTACCAACTCAGCCAAACTATCTCAGCCAATTTACAGCCACAGGGCAGTCTATTTGTTTAAGTCAGTCAATCTGCAATTAAAGAGCATACAGCTGTTTAAGCAAGTCAGGTGGTGTCTAATGTTGCGTACAGTGTGTTATGGAGTTGAGCCACTTAACTTATGGTTCCACAGACAAACGTCCTGTGATACCTTTCCCAAGCAGCTACTCAAAAGGAGTAAGCTAGGGAAATTATGTAGGCCAGCAGGACGTCAACGCCCAAATCCACCCTCACCCACTTCCACAGCCACTTCCAGCAGAAGTCATTGCGCAACAATTAGGGCCATGTGTTCTGGACAGTTTCTCTTCAGTGCTCTTGGAGTACTGTGTACAACTCCACTTAAAGTGCTATAAAAGAGCTGCCAGGCCCTAGAGGCAGTGCAGAAGAGAAATAACAAGGATTATCCTCAGCGTTAAAGGAATGAGCAATAAGAAATGGCTCAATAAGCATAGAAAATGGACATATTAGAGAGGACCTTAGAGAGATTTATAAGGTGCTAAAGGGGAATGAGAAAGTAAAACCAAAACAGTAATTGCAGATACGCCAGGCATCAGGACAATAGGATACAGGGTTACGAAGAGCAATTTCTGGGCACCGACCAGTATTTCTACACTCAGAGGTTATTAAGCAGAAGGAAAAAGGTTACGAGGAAGGGTAGCTAAGGCCAGGATGCTGGAACTCATTTAAGAAACAACTTGTTATTATAATGGGAAGATGGTTTCCTGGACGGATGAGAACAAAAGGGCCTTCTTCATCAGAACCTGTCTTGTGATGCTTGGTTTAGCTGTGGTCTGATTAACCCAACGAAGATCAAGGATCAAACTTAGAGCCCCTGCTGCTAAGCGTGGTTCTATTCCACACAACACACTACGCTCTGCTAACTAACTCATCAGGAAGAGTGGCCTTGAAACACGTAAATATTTAAACACAGTCCCCGAGCCTGCGTTCTGGCAACATTCGGCACTAACAGAAATTCTATTTCTAGGACATATTTTATAACAATCATTCCAGCAAATCTTTCCCGATGGCAATATAAAAAGGAATCTGAAACAATTAAGAAAAACACTGAAATTTGCAACATCATAAAGCCTTTTTTTTTAAAGAAGCACTCACCTCAGCATCCCTCCCTTCCCCTGATAATTAAACTCCCCTGGTAAAATGCTGAGGCATTAGCAACTTTTAGAGGCTATGTGGCATAATTGAAAATTCTATTAGCAATTTGCTGGTCAGCTACTATTCCACTTGATGCTGCATAAAATCAGAATGAAAGAATTTCAGACTTGTTGCAGACTTGTGCCATCAATACCGGAGGAGAAATCTGCCCCTTCAAAATCCTCCTAAAAATCTATTGCTTTGACAGTGTACTTTCGGTCAATATCCTCTACTTCTTCTGCTCAGTGATCCCTATTGCTTTTGTAAAGTTTTGTGGAAAACACATCCTACTTAAAAAGCGCTTATTTAAACCCAAGTTGCTATGTGTTGTTTTACAAGACCTTGTGACATCATTTCTAAAATCTCGCTTCTTATTCCTCCAATCCCAACTCTCCCACCCAATCCTCCGACATGAGCTTTCTGCAAGGCATCCAGGTGCTATCCTCCCCACCCCGTTTCTGGACCCCCGTTCCCTAATCTCCCCCACCCGCACCCACACTTCTTTTGCTGAGTAAGTGTGACCCAGCTTTCAGTAAATGGAGCGTACCTCTTTAGCCACAGTGTGCCAGTATAGGTGGTTCTCACATGTGTCCATCTTCTCCCGATGCAGAAACTTGCACTTATCTGGGACAAGGAGAGCATCGCTTACGAATTCACCAACTGAGAGGGTAAAAGACAAAGAGAGAAACAAGTTTTAGTGACTAGTGGAACTCGCGCAGTATTTCACATCCTTTTTAAATACCACACCCCAAATTGATCCTGTCTGCACTAACTCCCAAATTATCTTCCAATTTACCTTGCCTCACACTTGCGATCAATAATTTCCCTCACTTCCCCCTCAACTTTATTACTGAATGCTTTTTCTCAAACACAAAGGGGAGTTGGAATCTACCTTCAACCGATCTATATTTTAAAGTATCAGACTGCCATTAATCTGGAGTCTTGAAACTTCCTGCCCTTCGGAAATACTGGAGTTAGGATTTTACTGTAAATTTTGCTGATGAGCATTTATGCACAAAACAAAATGCAGAGAGCAGGTAGGGTAGATCACTTGATCATCGATGGCAGTGAATAGAGCCTCTTTTGTCTAATGTGCAGGGCTTGGTGAAGCAGGGTTAAAGTGGAACTAAAATAATGGTCCAATTGACACGGGCAAAGCAAAAGTCTTTTCAGTCCTTCTCTGATCCAGGTGTACATCAAGCACTTATGGCAGCAAAAATCACCATGTTTTGCCGCAGTTAAGGAATTAGTCACTGTGGGTGTGACAGTTTTTGGCAGTCCTGCTCCCATCAAAACACAGTGTAAATGCAAGATATACTCAACCCCTTATTGTGAGGGCTGTGCAAATCTCCCATCTCTCAAGCAAACTCGGAGCAGAACATTTTAACTTTATCCAGGCACTGATAGCGTTAAAAAACACAAGACACTTGATTTTGTGGTATGTGACAATTCCTGTGAAAGCTCAGTAAGACAAAACATTGGAAGTCACGTGGAGCAGGCATTATGCATGTGACTTTCCTGCTTCACGACTCTATACTACCAGGAGGAAAATATCTCTTGCTACTGGCAGTATGAACACAATAATGATGAAGGGAACAACGATGAAATAGGAGAGCAGGTAACTCTAGTGCAGAAGCTAGTAGCAGCACAAATACAATAGAGTAAGAGCAGGAGAAAGGGATTAGAGCACATCCCTTCAATGGGGGCGGAGGGGTAGGGGGAGAAAGCATGCAAGCACAAGAATGGGCACAATAGACCTCCTTCTGTGCTGTAAGCTTTTTATAATTCACTAAATAGACTAGGCTGGCTCCACCCACAGCTGCAGCAGTGCATGTAAAGCACTACACCGGATGCATAATGATTCCCACCCAGTTTATCCCTGTAAAGGCAATTTTTTTTTACTCCATTACGTTTACTTTAACTAAGAGAGTCTTCCACATTCAGAGGAATAGATCTAACTCATTATGTTAATATATACACAATGCAAGATGAAGGTGAAACCACCATTACCCTTGCAGTGATTCCAAATTATTTGCTTGGCTCAGACTAACTGTGCTACAACAGTCTGTGTGGTTTGTTCTGACGCATACATCTGGGCACTTTGCTGCAGCTCTGTGATAAACACATGAAGCACGGTTCACATAGCATTACAAACCCAGATCTCTTTTAAGTTGCAAGGATTAGACAGTTACACCATATATTTGCACTGTGGAATATAAATCTTTCAGCCCAAAGCCAACTTCCTTCCTCTGTTACGCACTCAACAAAATACTGACCCTCTGTCCTCTGCAAATACTCACCGGCCACGATGTAACGCAAAGCTGCGCACTTCAGTCGCAAGAACAAGTCAAGGCAAGGTTACAAGCACTCCCAATTTGCCAGAATTTATATTAGTTATAAAAAGACGGGGATGCTGAAAGTTTATCAGAAATTCCAGATTTTAAAGAGGAAAGTGCAGATCAGATCAGGGGATGAATCAAAACTGCCAAGGTCAAGATGGGGTGGCAGCTTTGACAATGAAAGGAAGTGTTTTTAAATATATTCCTGGAAGAATCACTTCACGCAGGAGACATTTATGACGTGGGTTTATGCTTCCGTAGATCTATCACAAAATAATAGCACAAAAAATTACTTTACATCATGGAGTTGCAGATTCAGTGCAAAGTTTGTATTTGACGTTAAGCTGGGGGTTGACAGGAATGCTGCAGCATCTGAAGAGGCAGCCAAGATCTTACAAAGAGTGCTCAATAAGGTGCGCATCTGCATTTCACCCACAAAATATACAGCCAATTCACTTTACAGCATATTTTGTGAACTGGTTTGAGACATCTTGAAGACGTGATAAGGTGCTATATCAAATCCAAGGGTTATTATTATTATTATCTAGGCTGATAGGCAAATTAAGTTCAATATGAGTAAATGTAAGATATTAGACACAGTAAAAAAAATGGAAGCACACCTACTTCACTGTATAGGGTAAATGGTTAGGGAATGGAATGCTTTACCATAGAGGATGGTAGACGAAGAGTTAACAATAGCTTTAAATGGGGAATCAGACAAATGCTTGAAAGAGAAAAATATACTTTAAAAGATGTGGGATAAACAGCAGGGGAATGGAATTAAATGGATTGATCTTTCAGATGTGCTGTAAACTTCTATGTTTTCATGCATGCAATCCTGTGGTTGCTAATTGGAAGCTAATTATTCCTACGTAAGAGCTTACGGCAGATGCAGTGAAGTTTGAACCTATCGTGTCACATTTATAAACATGGCCCATTCAGTTTCTGCAGTTGGTTTACAACAACTTGGATTTATATAGCGCCGGACGGTGTCTCAGAGCGCTTCAGTGATGGATCTTGGGGCCGAGCCAGGGGGAGGGAGGAAGGTGACCAAAGGTGCGGTCGAAAAGAAAGGTCTTCAGCAGAGACCTGAAAATAGGAAGAGAGGGGGCGAGGCGAAGGGAGTGAGGAAGTGAGTTCCAGAGCCTCGGGGCCTAGTGGCTGAAGGCATGGCCGCCGAGGGTGGAGCGGAGGACTCGGGGGACAAGGAGGAGGCCAGACCCGGAGGAACGAAGGCAACGGGCACTGTTTTGAGGAGAGGAGGTCAGAGAGATAGGGGAGTGCAGAGGAGTGGAGGGATTTGAAGACAAGGGTGAGGATCTTGAAGTCGATCCTCTCTGGGACAGGCAGCCAGTGCAGTCTGGCGAGGACTGGGGTAATCGGGGAGCGGAGTTTCGTGCGGGTGAGAATGCGGGCGGCAGAGTTTTGAATAATCTGGATTTTATGGATGGTAGTGGAGGGGAGACTGGTGAGGAGGACGTTAGAATAGTCCAGCCGAGAGGTGACAAAGGCATGGACCAGGGTTTCAGCGGCTTTCAGTGAGAGGTACTGACAGAGACAGGCGATGCGTCGGAGGTGGAAGAAAGCAGTGCTGGTGATGGATCGGATGTAGGGGAGGAAGGATAATTGGGGGTCGAACCTGACGTCTAGGTTGCGTACGGGTTCGGAGAGTTTTAGGGGGAGGTCGGGTAGGTGGAGGAGGTGAGAACCGTGAGATTTTAGACGCTGACGAGAGCCAGAGTATGGCTTCCGTCTTGTCAATGTTCAGCTGAAGGAAATTTGCACTCATCCAGCTCCTGAGGTCTGACAGGCAGGCTGACAGAACATCAGGGGGCTGGGGTCGCCAAGTGAGGTGGAAAAATAGAGTTGGGTGTCGTCCGCATACATGTGGAAGTGTACCCCATGTCTGCGGATGACATCCCCAAGAGGGAGCATGTAGATCAGAAAGAGGAGGGGGCCAATGATGGATCCTTGGGGTACCCCGCAGGTGACCGGGTGAGGGAGGGAGGAGAAGCCGTTTGTGCAGATGTACTGCTGGTGATTTGTGAGGTACGACTCGAACCAGGCAAGTGAGGTCCCACTGAGGAGGATGATGGAGGAAAGGTGGTGGAGGAGGATGGCGTGATCGAATGTGTTGAACGCGGCAGAGAGGTCCAGGAGGACAAGGAGGCAGAGGGAGCCCTGGTCACAGATAGAGAGGATGTCGTTTGTAACTTTCACAAGTGCAGTCTCTGTACTGTGGGCAGGGCGGAAACCGGACTGGAGGGGTTCGAAGAGGGAGTGGGAGGAGAGGTGTGCGTGAAGTTGATTGGCAACAATGAGTTCTAGGACTTTTGTGAGGAAGGGCAGGTTAGAAATAGGGCGGTAGTGGCTGGTGATTGAGGAATCTAGGGAAGGGTTTTTGAGGAGGGGGGTGATGACAGCAGTTTTGAGGGGGGCAGGGACTGATCCGGAGGAAAGGGACTGGTTGATGACATCAGCCAGTAGTGGGCAGAGGAGGGGGAGCTGTGTGATCAGCAAGGTGGTGGGGAGGGGGTCAAGGCAGCAGGTGGTGGGTTTCATGGAGGTGATGGTGAGTGAGAGGGAGGAAGGAGAGATGGGGAGGAAGGAATGTAGGATGGGGGTCGTGGTAGGAGTAGATGATGGGGAGAGGGTGAGGGGGACAGAGAGGGAGTGGTGGTGGGTGACAAGAGGCAGGTAGATGAGCTACCTGGCGGATGTTATGTATTTTAGATGAAAAGAAGTCCATGACCTCCTCGCACTTGGCATTTGATATGAAGATTGAGGAGGCCTGAAGAGGGGGCACGGAGGAGGTAGTGGGTGGTGGAAAAAAGGATTTTAGGGTTGTGTTTAGCCTCCAAGATGATGTTGGAGTAGAAGGCCATTTTTGCACATGTCAAAGAATGGCAGTAGCTGTGGAGATGCTCGAGCCACAGTTGGCAGTGAACTGTCAGGCCAGTTTTCCGCCATCTGCGCTCGAGCAGCCGGGTTTGGGTTTTTAGGCAGCGGAGATGGTTGTTGTACCAGGGGGATTGGGTGGGTTTGGAGATGGTCCTGGATTTCAGGGGACGAGGGAGTTGAAGGTGGAGGAAAGGCGATCATGGAGCAGCTGGATGCCTGCTTCAGGATCTCTGCGGGTGGAAGGCCAGAGGGATAGGATATTTGAGAAGTTATGTGGAGTACATTTTGTCGTTCAGTCTGCAGGAGATTTCATTTCCACACCAACAGAGAGTTAACTACGGCATTCTTGTAAGCACTTGAAATGCAGATCGCAGCTTCCAACTCGTATAATGATTGATGTCAGAGGCCCTTTGAAATGATTCCAGCAAACACACACATTGTCCAGTAATTTTCATCACCAGTAATAATAGGCTGAAAATCTTTTCTTCTCTCAGCACCACTGTGTTGGAACAAGTTAAAACAATTTGCTCATTAAGAATCAAAAGCTGGGCAAGAGGCAATGTGGCCCAAGCACGCCAGTTAGGAGCAAGTTTGACCCTGATCTTTGCTGTGTCGATTCTGCACAGTGCTTTGTTTCCAGAGATGTTAGATGAAAACTACTGGACTCCATTGTTATCGTCATGCCTGTCACTATTACTTAGCTACTGTCCTGCGACTTAAAACAGTCTACCTAGACTTTCACAAAACGCAGGTCATCTTCCTTATATCACTAGGGCCCACATAATAAATGAATTACAAACAGCATACAGCTTTGTCTGACAAAATCTTCACAGGAAAGATATGTTTATATAGAGAGGGGCTTGAAGGGATACGAGGATAGAGCAGGGCAGTGCGATTGAAGCAATCTCCTTGCTCTGTGAGCCTTGACGGGCCAAATGGCCTCCTTCTGAGCTGAAGATTTCTATGTTTCTGTGGTGCACCTGCTGCTTTAGTAATCATGGGCAAATCAAATATTTTTGCTTTGAGAGGCTACAGATGTGGAACAAAAATCAGCAAGGAAATGCGAAATGAATCATTATGAACCCCTCCAAAAAGAACATGCTGTCGTCCCCCCACCTCCCACCCACCAAAATAGACACATTTTCCATTTAAGGAAGTGACGTTGGTTTAATGACATTTAGCTGACAAGATATTTTTGTGTTGTGAAATTCCACAAAAAATGTAAAGCAGAAGTATGGCATTGAACAGCTGTTTAGAAATTATACACAAAGAGGAAGTGAGGCTGAAGTTCATCGCTGGGCATGTTCCCAGTTGCAGTGCAATTACTGAACAAATAACTCTTAAGATACCGGCACAGGCACCATAGTCAATAGTCAAATGGCCTTCTGCCACACTGAAAAATCCCACGATTTTAAAGTCGGTGTTAACCAGGCTAACATTTGTTTGGGGAAAGCTCTTTCTTTTTGATCTTTGATTTGCTTCTGACCAGAAAGGGGGAGAGGCGGGTAAGTAAAGAACCATGACCATACTTGATTGGAAGGCTTAATAAGACTTAATATTCAGAATCTGCTTGTATTCAATTCTTCCAAATCTAAATCCATCATAACCAGCGATCTGCACCCACCCCAGCCATCTCTTAGTATTTCTTAGTCCCAGTGGAATCCGTGATGTGTTCACACAAATAGAATTTCAAATGGCTCACTTCACCACAGTGATACGGAACATTGCAAAGCTAGCACTGTTGACTCATTTATTCATTAATGTTGCTGCAGATAATGCTGCAGAAGGCTAAAGAGACTGGTTCTCAATTACTAAGTGATCAGCTTCAACTAGAATAATATTGGCTGTGAGACAATATATGTGTGAAGAGAGGCTGGCTAATTTTGTTTAAAAAAACAGGATATTGAGAGGGATAGAAAGATAACCCTTAATAAGATACTGAAAGAGCATGGCAAGGTAAATAGGGGAAAACTATTTCTTTTCATCGGGGAATCGGTGACAACCCGGCATAACCTCAGGAATGTTTGCAGAAAGCAGGCGAGAGGTTAGCAGGAATGTCTTCACTCAGAGGGCTGTCAGAGCTTGGAACTTATGACCACAAATGGCCATCGAGGCTGGGTCAATAGATCCATTCTAAAGGGAGCTGGATAATCACCTGAGGAGCAAAAACACTAAGCTCAGTAAAGAGCTGGAAAGTGAGATAATTAATATAAAGGGGACGAGTTAAACAGGTAGTGGTGGCACAGATACAATGGGTCGATTGGCCTCCTTTTGTGCTGCAAATTTCTATCAATTCGCTACTTTCTTAGTTATGGAGTTTCAAACTATGCCCAAGTAAATGCAGCTCAAAGTAGGAAAGAATACCTATTCTGTATTTTACCTGCCTCCATCTAATTGTACATAATATTTATTTCGGAGAATTTCTTACATTTTTATAACCCAATGTTCATGAATTGTATATTCATCTTACGAATGCTCATATCTATGCAGTTAATTTACACAGCTTGGTTCCAGGAAATTCAGCATTCATTATGCATGCAGACATAGTGTAATGACACATTCTTTAATTTAATTCATCACTCTAATGGTCACATATTCTACAGTTAAAAGGCTTTTAAGGATTTAGATTATATGCAGAATGAGTTGGACTAGTTCCAGCCACATCGAAGCCCATCTCCGTGGGTTCTATTTAGGGAATGTCTCAAAAGTTTACCTCTACCACGACTCACCCTAAACTAACTAGATTAAAAAAACAAAAACAGAAGTTGCTGGGAACAATCAGCAGGTCAGGCAGCATCTATGGAGAAAGGAAAGTGAAACAGTTTGGGGTCCACAATCCTTCATTAGAACTGGGGCATGTTGGCATGTTTCTAGATGCTGCCTGACCTGCTGAGTGTTCCCAGTGACTTCTGTTTTTGTTTTCAGATTTCCAGCATCTGCAATATTTTGCGTTTTGCTAACTAGGTTAAAGCTTTGCTCATTTGGTTGGGTCAGTCGAGTGTCTGATACATGTAGAAACCCATCACCGTGTTTAAGAGGATCCAAACCAAACAGATATCCACAAACGTATGCAATTTACACATGCATATGTTCCTGCATTTGGAATGGAACGTGTACTCTCTCCCTGGATAGCTGCATCCTGCTTACCTAATTCTGGATAGTATTAGCCGGTGGTTGGCAAGGTCCAAGGTGTATGTTTGGGTACTCCTGGGACTTTACGCAGCTAAAACTATACAGTTTGCTATTGAAAGCTATGTAAATGCAATACTTCCAGCGATACTGGTTTTTGCTCTGCAAAATGCTTACAGTAGCAATTTATTTGCCACGCTTTGGTTCTCTCTTCGTTTGCAACGCAGCACCGAATTAGCAAAACTCAGCATGGATGTCATTCACACCCCCTGTGCCCTAGTCACTTGCCATTACCCCAGTAATACAACATCTCCAGTGTACTCAGGAGCTTTACTTCACTTTTTGCAGTATCTACCGAAATATTTTATTTTGATGTTAAGCAAGGGTAACCATTTCAGATATTTTGCAGTAAATGAGTTTCTCTACGGAAGGTAAGGTGACAACCTTTCCATTCAGAGAAATGAACCCCTTTTCTACACAGAAATCCCCAAAGGAAAAGCAATTCCAATCACCATAATATTATTTTACGTCTGAAGCAGGAATTAAAAATCTGCACAACCCCTTGTGCTGCCTTTTATTTGCCACACTTTGGTTCTCTCATCGTTTGCAATGTCTCGTCATTAAAAAAAGCATTAAAGCTAAAGCCCTTTGTCCTTTATGCGTCCTCTCTATTGGTCATACTCCACTGCCCATAAGAAACATAAGTGCAGTGAAAGCAGACTTGGCTGAAGCAGTCGGAAAGAAAATCAGGGCAGACTGACAGTAAGTAGTGATGCACGAAGTCGCTGCCAATAAACAGTGGGTCCTGTGACTAAAGGTAGGCATTTGGGGTGAGCTAGATGGATGGACTGCATGGCTTTCCTCTTTAACCAGGCTTAATCAGCTCCTCCCTCGGCTCAGCGTTAGGCTCCGCCACAGTTAAGCACTCCAAGACGCTACCCCACGTGAAAGGCACTCTAGAAATGCAAGTTGTTGTTGCTGACCATTCTTGCCTGGCTCTCAGTAACTTCAAGAATCCTCATCCCAAACTTCAAATCCTTTTGTGATCATTTCCTACCTCTACAATCTCCTCCTGCCCTATTCTCCCATCTGTGCCCTCGCTCTTCCGAATAGGTCTACTCAGCTATATGGCTGTACAAGCAGTGGACCTTATCAGCCATTATGACCTCTGGAAAACTCAAAATCCTTTCTGCCTTGAAAACCCTCTTAAAAAAAGTCTTTTTGACTATACTTAGACAACACACTTAATATTTCCCCTCCTCTGGGTTGCCCAGCGGCTCTGTAAAGCTCCTTGAGACATTCATCCTATGTGAAAGATATGGTTGGGTGCAAGCGAATGCATCAAATGCTGACCAGATAGTGATCAAGAAGCAGAATTTCACATAAGTCAACTGACCAGATAATTCTCAAATAGGATACAGCTCCCATCCTGCTAAATTTGGAATTCATTCAGTTTATACTGTACATTTTAAATTAATCAGGTAGCAGCAACTTTTTTTATATATAATGCAGCATATTCCTTTGCTAACTTGATCCACTATAACCCTAGGCAGCGTGACGTTATAATTATGCAGCTGTCTGATATGGCTTTATAAACGAGAAGGTTCAAAAGAAAAATATCTCCAGCGCTTATAGCGTAATACTGAACATTTCAAAGACAGCGTACGGCACAAATACTGCACAACATCATCAACAACAACAAATTACACTGTATAGTGTCTTTCACATTGGGAAGACATCCCAAGACGTTGGACAGTCAGGGATTGGACCCAAGTAGAGTTGGAATCAGGAGGGGTGGAGGCAGAGAGGGTAGGGGTAGGAGGCAGACCAAAGGAGCGGTCGAAGAGGAGGGTCTTTCGACGTACCTTGAAGGAGGCAAGGGAGGGGGTGAGACTCCGAGGAATGGAATTCTAAACGGTGGGGGCACAGTCAAAAAGTGTATTTGAAGTTTAACAACTGGCAATGCACATATAGGCACATACATACCCAGACACCGATAGGGAATCACAATGTGAGGGTGGCCTTTGCACTGCTTACGTCCCTTTTTGCACCAGTTCTGGATTGTGACTGGCTGGTTGGCTTCCACAACATTGGTGATCTGTAAGTCAGGGTAAACCTAGGATAGAAGAAAAACAGTTAGAAAACAACTCACAAAATAATATCCCGTACATTTCACATTGCCCTAAAATGTATAAACAGCAGCCATTTTTACACATAGCATAGTCTCACAAATGGCTACGAGCCAAGAAACCGATTAATTTGGAAAATTGTTGGCCAGCTCACTGAGAGAAACTCTTTTCAATCCATGCTATGGGATCTACAATCCCCATCTTAAGAACGCGTAGATGGGACTATGGTTTGACGTCTCATTCGAATATAGCCAAACAACATAATGCTTTCCCAACACTGCACCGAGTGCCAACCTAAACTTTGAGCTGAAGTGCCGACGAGAGGGGTTAAACCCACAACCTTTTGACCCAAGAAGTTACTAACCAAGTTGATGCACAGAAAACAGCAGCTTGCACTTATTCAATTCATGTAAAGAAACAGCTCAATGCTCATGACAACTCCACTTGATTTAAAATTTGCCGCCCAACGGACCTGGGACAGATTTGCACTTAGGAGAATTTTATCTGGAATAAAGAATTATCTACAATTTGGAAATAGCATATTTATCAAATGTATCAGTGACACCCACCAGAAGAACAGTGCACTAGCTAGCAACAGAAAGGATGTCACTAAAGAAATTGCATTTTATTGGAATGTCAAACAACCATATGATGGATAAGGCTCCAGTGGCAGAGATAAAAGAGGCCATCATCATCAGATGTCAAATGGAACAGAATATCTAGTGGAACTTTTGATTATTCTTGATAATGCAGGGACTTCAGGTCGACAGATGACACTTCAATGCATAATAATGGATGGTTACATATGCAGCCAAAGTGCAGGTGAATGGATTATCTTTCCTCACATAGTGGCAATCGAGAAGGGAGTAATCGAGGTTCCATTGTAAATTAAATTGTAGACTAAATGGCATCCTCATGTTTGGTGCCCAGTATCAGAATCTAGAATGACAAGGTTGCCCTGGATTAAAATTAAACTCCCTCTGCCCTTTACAACAAAACTATTCACTACGACCCCAGAAGATCACTCCTAACTGCTTCGCGCAACATTTGTTTCCCTTACTAGCTAGCCACTGTTATGGCTTCTTGTGGACCATTGGCGGATAGGCCTTCAGCTTTTCTGTCCCAATCCTCTGAAACTAATACCCAAATCCCTCTGCCTCACCCCCTTGCTTGCCTCCTTCAAGGACCATATCAAGTCCTTCCTCTTTGACCACGCCTTCGACCACACTCCCACCCTCTCTCCCCCTCCTTCCAACTCTCTTGATTCCAACAGCCAACTCGGGTGAGGGTATTACACTTTCTGGGGCGTGGCCTGCTCAATGCCAGTGCAATATAATTGAGCACAACAGTTGTGTCCTGAGGTCTGGATGGCTTAGGATTTATCTACAGAAAATTTGTGTTTCGACACACAATGGAGAAGATCTGGAATTACAGCCTTCCCCATTTGCAAAACTTATGCACCCCACCTCATACAATCCATGTGAGAACCAAATACTTAATTTGACACAGATTTTGTTTTTTGCTGTAAACTTGCTTTCACACCCTGAATTTCTTTACAAATCTCCTTCTCACTTTCTCCTTCTTACTTGCGTCACCCTGTTAAAAGTCACAAGGTCTACAATTAGTCGGAAGTCTAATCCACTTCCGATTGTCTGATGTGCGGATAGCGTGACATTTTAATAATAATCATCCTTGCATTTATTATATTAGTTTTTGTCATTGAAATGACTCAAAGTCCTTAATAGGTAGTTGGAGAAATTGTTGACCAAGATACCGGGTGAAACTCCCTTCTCTTTTCCAATAATATCATGGGATACTTATCAGAACGGAAACAACCTCAGTTGTTGTCTCAGTCAAAAGACTGCATCTTCAACAATACTGCGTTCCCCCACCTCCAGTATTGCACAGGAGTTTTAATTTATTTTTTAGCTCAGTTGCTGTGGGAAAAATGGCTAAATGTTCCTATTTCCTCTCATGAACAGTGAGACTGCAACCCCTTCCACCTTCCCACCGACCGAACACTTGAAATGCAAACAGCAATTGCAACTAAGCCCAAGTTTGGAGTCAAACCATCTTGAGTGATCTTGAAGATCTGTTAATATTGAAACCACTTAAGTCATGAAAGCTGAAAAGATCAGAAGCGTTTATATTTTCAATGATTAGGCCTGCTAAATTTTCTTACTGCAATTCAGCTGCACCCCTCAAATTTATTTTAGCATTTATTATGTGCTATGTGCTGGGTTTTGTGGGCTGGCGAGAATCCATTCAGATAGTGCGCCACAATTAAAATCCATTAAAAGAAAGCACGATCAATGGGCAAAAGAGTTTCCGCACGAAAGCCAACATTTTTCAAAACACAAGGTACAAAAAATGAGCAAATAAAATTTATGCATTGTGCTTCCCAGGGCACAGAACTAGAGATAAAGAACTGTGGTGGGTCATTGAGACCAATTGAAAGGAACTGAACTAGCAAGACTTACAACTCTGGTGAAGACAAATGTGTGGCTGACTCCTCAATGAAGGAGACCGCATGATTCTGTCTGGCTCTTTGGCTTATGCTGACTATGAGAGCAATAATCAGGAGCGCAACATGCAGCACCTCACATAGAGTCAATCACTTCCATCGAGCGAAGCCTCAGAAAACTGACGAAAGTGGCCATTGATTCTTGAAGGCGTTTGTTCCAGTTTATCAATGACGGACGGCAATAATTTGCTTGCACAAAAATAACCGCCCCACTTAAAAAAAAAAACACATTTTCCTCAACTCTTCTACCTGCCTCTCAGGTTTTACTAAGAACTTTAATGCAATCTACTCGCAAAACCCATTTGATCTCCAGTTCAGTTAATGGAATTCAATGGCATGTTACATGAGATGACAAAGGGCGTCATTGTTGGTGCTACTCTGTGCTGCAACTTAGCTCTACCTTGAAAAAAAATGTAAAGAAAGCTATTGTCAGCACACACTTTTCATCCCACAGCGCAGATTATATAATAACCACCACACACAAGTCATTCCCTCTGGCTCAACACACTGCATAATACGCAACACAAAACTAGGTGCACATAAAAAAAAACACAATGGACAATGGTGCACACTGTCTCACAATTTGAAACACCGACTCGTGCAATTTAAAGCTGACCAGGGTGCTTGCTTACCCTCAACCTTGGTGTACCAAAAAACAGTCCGGATACAATGATCAATCAGAACAGGAATACGAATTTGCAGGAATTTCTAACAATCTTTGCATTTGATATAGTGCCTTATCATGTGAAAACTTCTCAAAGCGATTCACTGTAATTACTGTAAGTGCCGTGACTGTAGTTGAACGTGGCAGTCAACTTTGCTCACAACACTGTCCCATATAAATAGCAAAAGCTATTATATGGAGGATAACAACCAGAGCACTGGGATAAATATGGTCAAGGGTTCTTGAATGTCGATCTAAACAATAGATGGGACCTGAACATCTCATCCGAAGGAACATCACCTCTGAAAATGGAGCTCTCTAAACAGCACTGCACTGGGGTGTCAGTCTGTGAGCAAAATTCCCAGCATCTAGATGTGAAAACTATAGCTCCAGTGTTTGCACCACACTGCTGTTTTCTGCATTGGAAACACGTAGGTCTCTAATTATCCACATTGTGTCCACTACTTATACATTAATACAGCTAAAAATAACCTAATACATTCAGCTGAACTGTGAGAGAACAAGTCAACTGGGCCACTGCAGCTAATGTGGATGCTGCACAAAATGCGTTTGCTTCCACCAGCATTCCCAAGACACTGAGATCATTTTTTCTTAAAAAAAGAATAACAGTAGCACAAAATCTCAAGACATCAAATGGGGAAAGAACACTGTCCCAAGTGCCTCGTCATATTTTTGTCTCTCTCTCTTCCTCTCTCGCTCTCTGAGAACAAGAGAGACAGAGGGAAAAGAAGAATGAAAAAGAGGAAAAAATGAACGAAAAAGAAAAGAACAAGGATACATCGAGAGCGAAATAAAGATAGAAAGAATGAGAATCGCTAATGAACTACAATGCACTTCTGCTATAATTTAGTTTTCTTAAAGAAAGTTTCTAGTCACTTACATTTTGGATAGTTAATATAGATTTTTTTAAATATATGGATATATGGTAGCAGGGGTGGGACAGAGGGAGTAAGGCCTGGAGAATTTGATTGAACATTAAACATTTAGGACACAATCATAGGTGACTTTCTAACAGAGGCAAATCGGTCCATAGCAGTCAGATTGTTAACCACATTGTCTTGAAGATTCCAATGGAAATTAATAAATTATATGCAGCATAAACATTAACCCTGATGATATTGCAGTTGACCAGCTAACTCAAAGTTCAGCTGAGAGGGAGAGAACATCGAACCAAGTGAATCGGATGAAGACTGGAACGTTAAACTCACAGTCTAGGCTGACTTGCTGCATTTTTGGAAGCGCTATCCTTTGGATGAGATGTAAACTGAGTCTTCCTATTCAGGTGGACTTTAAAGATCCCATGTTACTATTTGACAAAAGAAGGGAATTTCTCCCTTGTCCTGGCCAACAGTTCCCCCATATAAAACTGGTCATTCAACTCAATATTGTATGCAAATTGGCTGTCTATGAATACACAGACACTACGCTTCATAGAAAAACTCTGTGACGCACTTTGATAAATTATCTATAAAGTCAATGTTTCAAACGCCAGGATTGTTTTTGAATCAGTTCAATTGAGGTTTACTAGAATCCCTCACTAAAGGCATTCACATTAAGTGCACTTTCACTGGCTCCTCTAACATCTCAGTATAGACCTTTATAACATTGCAGGATCTTATTTCAGCTGCTGTTAAAAGTTAGAGGAAAACCCTGAACTGCGCTTTGGGCAAAGTAGGAAGAGGTATCAGAAAAAATGAGGTTTAAAAAAATCTCACTCAAGGAAAGCTGAACGAGACAAACCCATAAAGAAACAGGATGTGAAATATGACTGTTCAAGCTATTACTGTTACATAATAAACACTAAAGAAATCTACTTTTCCTAAGAATCTACCCTAATACCTCTCAAAGCAGAAGAATACCAGAAATTCTACCACAGGCAAAATAATCATTGCTCTGCCAAACTGCATAACCTTCTCTGTAAAATGCTGGAAACTGTGGCACGTAGTGAAATTGGATGTATTGCTCCTAATGGTTACTCTGCCATTTATTTGAAGCTGGTCACTACAGCCCCTGTAACAAGCAGCCCCATCTTACCAGGAGGCTCAGCGGCTTCACACCATCAGGCAGGCAGCTAAGACTCTACTGGTCCAACTGGCACAGATGGGCTATGGAAGCAAAGGGGATGGACTGGATTCCAAACTATCCCGGTCGGTGCAGGGATATGCGTTGGTGCTGGCAAACCAGCACTCTTCAATCTCAATCTCCAGGACACGATTTTAAAAAGACTGCATGCTTACAATTGTCATAAGTGGGAACAAAAATCTGTATCAGAAACTAAGTCGTCAGTCACTGCAATTGCTTGAGGAGTATACAATTCCTCCCCAGCCCCTTCAAATTCCATATTCTAATAGTTAGACCCATCGTAAATCAAGATCCTGGGAAATTTACATTTATTGAATGAAATAAAGGCCTACAAAAAAAAAACATGTCAAAAACACAGCATGGTACAACGTGAAGAGAAGGCTGCTCATGCTGTGGAACAGATCGCAATGCAGCTGTTCCGAATAGTGGGAGAAAAGGGACACAGGACAGTTGCCAGCAGTCAGACAGAGACTGTTACATGAGCACGTGAAAGGGATCACCGTGTGAATAGCCACAGCCCTCCCCCACTTTTCCATTACTTTGGGACTGACCAGATGGACTGCAAGAGTCCTGTAGATTCCTATGTAAAGACTGGAGAAGTTGTTGAAGACCCATCCTAGAAAAATCTAGGATATCGATTATATAGCTTTAACTTTTACTGCAGCGTTCTATCTGGATAAAATTTGGTGGTCTTGAGTCAGGTGAGGCTTAAAATAGAAACATAAATTTTCAGCACAGAAGGAAGCCATTCGGCCCCTTGTGTTCATGCCACTGCTATCTGTTTTATCACCTTTCATTAGTAATCCCAATTTTCAGTTTATTCCCCATATCCTTTATTTTTAGCTCTCGAGCGCTTATTCAATTCTCGTTTGAACTCATGTAGTCTAGGCTGATGCTCCAATGCAGTGCTGGCGGTATGCTGTACTGTGCCGAGGTGTCATCCTTCAGGTGAGATGTTAAACAGAGGTCCCCTCAGCCTGTAAATGTGGATGTTAAATATGCCATGGCATTCTTCGTAAAGGGAATGGAGTTTCTCTCTGGTATCATTGGAAAACAATCTTCCAGATAAAATTGGTCACTTAATTCAGGGCTGTTTATAGGATAATGCTGTATGCAAATTGGCTGCCTCATTCGCCTACATAATGCAGATTTACTACCTTTTACAGTAAATCTTGTGAAACAACATGAAGGGTCCTTCTGATGTGAAAGGCACAGTATAAAATGCAAGGATTATTATTATTTAATGCGCCTACAGATTCAGCCCCACTAGCCAGTTTGATAAAATTGTATCTTTCACATATTCTCCTTAGCACCAATCAAAAATATCTTCAACATGTTATCAGTATAGGCTTGGGCAGCAGTAGCAGAGCTCATTTTAGCATCTTTAAGTTATTACTCAGTGCATCACCACTGGAGAGAGACGAACAAGTAGAATTGTTGAACTAATCAGAAATGTTGCAACAAGACAACTTAATCAGGATTCCTCCTTCAGTAAAAAAACTCTCCATCTAAGTTTTCCTCTAAACGTGGATGACTTTTAGCAACACGGGCTTGAGCTTTAAAGCAAATTTACGGCAGAATATACTTTAATACTGGATTTTCCCAATCCTACTGGTTGAGTGTGTGGGCATTCCTAAAATGATGCAAAAGTCAAATGAATTTTTTCTCAAGAGGTGGCGCTAATTGCTGAAACATTCATTGATAATTCATTAACCATATAGAGACCCAGCTCCAGTGCCAAGACAGCATTGTTAAATACCTTGGGATGTCCTCCCAACGTAAAAGGCGCTTTATAGATGTAAATTTGTATTGTATTGGTTACAATACAAATTAAATTACATCCAGTTCAGTCCCATAAAAATACCTTTATAAGAATTTTTTTTAAATGTAGCATGTTGAAACATGTCAAATTGCTTCAGAGTAACTACAGTCTGTAAAGACTATGGGAAACATGGCAGCCATTCTGTTCACAGCCAAGTCCCACACACAGCCACTGACCATTCACTTGGAGGATTGTTGGCAAGAACACATTTTCTAAAAGTGTCACAGGATGTTTAATGTGCAGCTGAACAAGTAGCTGGGGCGTTGGTCCGCTTGAAAATGCAGCATTCTCTCTCTCAAGAAATTGAGACTTTACCGTTGTACAAAAGTACAAAGCATCAAACTAATGCACGTAGTGTTTGTGAACAGATGGCAGGCAGTACTCTGACTGAGTGGAATATTAAGCCAAATGAGATCTCATATTAAAGGATTTGTGCTGCTAAATCCTTTATAACCCGAATGCTCAGCTATAAACATCTAAAAGCTGTAGTATCCTTTTGTTGGTCAGGGTGGTCCTCTCAAAATCTAATGCATCACAAATCTTCCTCTGAACGCTGAACCGATTTGAGCTTCTTTAATGTGTAAAATATAGTCAGGGAAGGTTGAGCTAAAGTTCAAAGTGAGGACTCTTGTCATGACTTGCACAATTGTTGTGGAGCCTTAAACGACGACACAAAATATCAGAATCACTTCCTGAAGGCTTTTAACTACATTTTGCTAACTCCTTTGTATTGTGATAGAAGATGAGGTACTTAATGAAGAATTTCAACTGCAAGCCGCTACTGAAGATGCGGCAGTGGATATCATTTGCTTTAATATCTAATGCTTGGCTCAGTTGGTTACACGCTCGTCTTTGGGTCAGAGGATTGTGGGTTCAAGCCCCACTTCAGGACCTTCAGTGGCTAATTGGGAGAAATGCCATCCTTTGGATGAAGCGTAAAACCAAGGTCCTGATTTGCCTGTACGAGTGGATGCTAAGGATATTACAAAACGATTCAAAATGATAAATGTTTCCTGGTGTCCAGGCCCAGCAATCCTCCAAATAAAAAAAACCTCTAGGCCTCATGTTGTTTTGGGCGCACACAACCCTGTGCTAAACTGTGAGCAGCTACCCCCACCCCTAACATGGTCTAATAATCTTGATACACATGATCAAGGCTCAAAGGTGAATCACGGCCAAATGCAAAGTGCTGGAAATTCCACAGCGGTTCATTCAGGATCCGAAAGAGAGAGGCAAGTAGGTTAACGTTTCAGAGACCTATTTTAGATCCTGGTTTACCCACCGTGCATTTCTATTTTCTATTTCTAGCCTTCTTGTTTTATTTCATGAATAATTGTTAACTTGTGTAAGGCACTGCAGGGAATTCATTGAACGGCATCATAGAAGGGAAAAAAACAGGATCGAGCAACTTTCACGGGCCTGAAATTCCACCTGGCCTTAGTCGGCCATACCATTTGTGAAAAATCACGGCACATGCAGAATTGTGGAAAATTCTTATCAGCCACATTTTGGAAGCTGGCTTTCTAAAAGTTGGTTCTTAAAAAGAACTGCAGTTTTTCCAAATTAGGACTGAATTTAAGAAACGTTCACAATTTTGTACCATCTTAAATTTGATGATGTAGGCCATGACTAGGTGACACTTTGGAGCTCTGGTGTAGACGGTTAAAAGAAAATCTCCACAAGACTTTTTTCCATCAGGTATCTTTCCTTTCTAGAACAAAGAAGGTTGAGAGGCGAACTGTAGGATAGAGACTCAAAATTATGAGGGGCTTTGATAAAGTAAATAGAGAAACAGATTTCCATTGTTTGGTGGGTAGGCAAGTAGATGGTAACAAATTAAAATCCTAGGAAACTCTTTCTCACACGACATGGATCGCCCTGCAAAAAACTGTGGTGAAAGTCATATTATAGCACACGGCACAGCACAGGTTGCCTTAGAATCTATTAACTGGTAATTGGGCCCCATCATGCTCCCTCAGTCACTGACCTTGATTCAGTGAGCTCTGTGCTTATTACTGCTTCAAGCCTAACAATGGCAGCCAATTTTAGGGAAGCAGGGAAAAAAAAGTATGCTGTCCAGAATGATTGCTTTTTCCAGCCCATAATAGCTGCAGGCATGGCATTCTCTGACAGCCATTTCTACTCGAACGCAAAATGGCATAATATCTTTATTTGGCCTCAATGTTTACAAAAAAAAAGGCGATTACTCTCTCCGTGCACTTCTTCCTCAAAACACTCGTCCCTGCAAATTTTATTTGAACAATAGACATCACCATTTGATAAATTCAGCTGTGAATACATTGGGTAGGCAACCTCTCCGCGGATGCTGGGTGTACATAGCCGAATGGAGACGACGCGCGAGCGAAACGAAAATTCTCTCTGCCATTTCTGCAGACCTTACCTCCTGACAGTATTGCAAGATTCCTTCTTTGGTGCCAAAGCAGCTGTTCGTTCCGGAAGGATCTGATATCCACTTGCCAGTCTGTACGTTCATGTGCATGTTCAGCTTGTCACAGAACATAGCGATCTGTGGTTCCGCTGCCAGCAATCCAGTACCCCCATCAGTTGGTACCTGGGAAACAGAAGGGTCTCAGTTACAAACAACGGTGCAAATAGATCGAAGGACTAGGCTGCAATTTTTAGAGTTCTTTTAACAAATTTTTTAAAGTAGCCCTGATGTCTAGAAAATTCGGCCCCAAATTATTAAGGATCTGAGCCGTTAGATTACACTCTTAAAAGTTATGGCTGTGCAGAATTTTGGAATATTCTCAACATGGGCAGGTCAACATGGAGCACAACTGCCATTCAAAAAAAGGACAATTTAATGAAAATAAGTTGGAAAGTGGGGAGGAAAGTAAAGTGAGTAGTGAGTTCCGAGAAAACAATTAGCATGATTTCCCCCAATGCTTAGAGGATTAATAAACACTTCCCTATATATTAGAGTGATTCTAGGCCACTTTGGAAGGCATTTAAAGGGTCAACCATGTAGTGTGGCACTGGATTATAAGCAGATGGGTTTATTTTATAGCTTTGTGGCGCTAGCTCAAATTAAGCAATTGCCATTAACGGGGTTCAAACACATAACATCTGGATTTGCTAGTCCAGCATCAATAACCCTATACTAACGCGTCCCACTTAACAACAAAAGCTTCTAAAATTAAACCAGGTAACTTGGCAGGGCATCAAATGTTCACTCGACTTGCACCTCTCTTAGAGCTTTGCTCCCGTTGTAAAGGAGCGGAAGCACATTTGAGAGGCAGTCAGCAGGAATGTATGAATCAAATCGCAAGCCACACAGCATCTCCAGCTGCACCTCATACACAAAGCGGCTCCTGTGAACAAGCAGAAAATGTGTCTCTTCAAAGATAAAAGTTTAAAGTTAAAGCAGCTTTTTTTAAATACAGTTTTGCAATTATAAGGCCGCTTGGTGGATCTAACCATCTCATGGAGAAGTCAACATCCACACTTGCTGCCTTTGAAGAAATTGATAATTCACAGCCAGACCGCTGTCTTAATCTTCCTCTCACACACCTTCCTCCAGTGAAGATTGTGACTCGTGGGAGGTACAATTCCCCCAAGGGTTTAAGACCAGTTTATCTGGAGTTTTTTTTGGCCAGGAAACCAAGAGAAACAATTTATTTTCCAACAGTGTCACAAGAAGGGAGCTTCTCCCAGTTTCCAAGCCAACAATCTCCCAGATAACATTCACTCCATTGTTGTTTGTGAGGCGTTGCTGTACACAAATCGGCCGTTATATTCACTACAATCACTAATTTACAGTGAAATCCTGGAAGCACTTTAAGATGTTTCGACAACACAAGATACTACTATATGAAATGCAAGAATTATTGAATTATTTCATTATAACGGAATATTTAACATGTACCTGAAAAGGCAGACTGAAAATTAGTTTAACATTTCATCAGAAGGATCTGACAATACATTGCCCGCCATTATTTCAGTGAAGTGCCAGCCTAGGTTATAAGATCATGACCAGTCGCTTGAGCCACCAAAGCCAATCCTGCAGTCCAGCATTTGAAAGCTGTGCGAGAAGAGGAAGTAATGCCCAAGTTTCAAGCGACAATCAAAGAAGCTGCTTTTATTTATGCTTCAATAGAAGAAATAGTCTGATAGATTCCAGGATAGAATTTTAAATCTTTATGCTGTAGCTTGAGGTGTTCGAGTTTCTGTGCTAAGAGTAATGAAGTGAATGTTCACAGGAGTGTGTGGCTTTACTGCATCTGTCCTGCACAGATAAGACAATAATTAACAGGGCATGAGCTTCAAAGCACCTTTGAAATCAGACGATAAATTGATTCTTCTTAGAATTTTAATCTCAACAGAACGGAAGGGGACCAAAAGCACAGCCGAAGATGTAGCTTTTCAAAGGTGGGGGGAAAGGGAAGATGATAGAGAGCAAGGCAGAGGGAAAGCAAAAGTTATTTAATTTGTTTCATACAAGATGCGGCTATTTTCCTTTGAAAAAGCTCTAGGTTTCAATGGAGCAGCTCCTCCCCTCTAATTTTCAGTAAACAGCTTCTCAATGAATCTGACATAACCGTCTGTTAGGTAAAACAATACAATATGTCACATCTAATGCTCTTCTCTATCCGTTGCCTCCCTATGCAAGGAAATACGACCGGGAGCAGTTACCACACCAATGACCCCTACACTATCGAAAAATACCCCCATTTTAAAATGGAAGATTTGTTGAGTTGTTTTTGGTGCTTTACAAAAGTGATAGTAATCCTTGCACGACCTGACAGGGTGGTGGAAGCGGATTCAAAAATGACTTTCGAAAGGGAGTTGGATATTTATTTGAAAAGAAAAAAATTGTAAGGCGATGGCGAAAGAATGGGGGAGTAGGACTGATTGGATAGCTCTTTCAAAGAGCCAGCACAGGCATGATAGTCCAAATGACCTCCTTTTATGCTGTTGGAATCTATGAATAATAATCCTTTTATGTAGCATTTTATATAGCACCTTTCATGTCAGAAGGATCTCTCAAATCCTCCAATAATGCAGCACTCCTAGCACTGCATTCGAGCATCAGTCAAGACTACATGAATTCCATGTCCCAATGCTGAGTTTGAACCCACAAACTTCTGACTCAGGAGACGAGAGTGTTACCAGTTGAACCAGGCTGACACAGGAGGGGTGGTAGTTGGGGAAGAGAGAGAGGTTCCTAAAATGCAATTCATAATTTAATCAGTGCCCCAAACCTCTGTGTATTGGCATGACCAATTTATTATTGGTTTTTTTCTTGACGGATTATTATCAGGTGTGTAGAGTAAGGAAACTTACTCAAGGTTTCGCCTTGTCAGGAATCAAACCCAAATCTCTCGCTTGCGAGGCGAGCTAACCACTGAGCTACCAGATTACCCCATTACCATCCATGGACAGGACTTTATTCATTACATATAAATTCCTATTCTTAAAAAACCCTCCCTAGACCCTTCTCTATCCCTTCTCAGCTTCGCTCCTTCCTCTCCCACCACTCCCTTCTTGAACTCCTCCAATCGGGTTTCCGTGTCGCCCACAGCACAGAAACCACCCTGGTCAAAAAAACAAATGAAATTCTGTCCATCTGCCACCAGGGTTCCCTCTGCCTCCTTGACCTCTCTGCTGCTTTTGACACCGTCGACCACTCTATCCTCATCCACCGCCTCTCCTCTCACCTCAACCTTCATGGCTCTGTCCTTGTCTGGTTCAGATTGTATCTCTTACACTGCCTCCACGTCATCTCCACAAACGGCTTCTCCTCTAGACCCGGACTGTCTCTTGCGGCGTTCCTCAAGGCTGTCATCGGTCCCCTCCTCTTCAATATCTATATGCTCCTTCTTGGTGACATCATCCACAGACATGGAGTCAACTTCCACATGTATGCGGATGACACCCAACTCTACCTCTCTGTCTTCACCCTTGACTCCAGGACCACTGCTGTCCTGAACTGAATGTCTGTCGGACATCAAGTCCTGGATGAGAGCTAATTTTCTTCAGTTGAACGTCAACAAGACCGAGGCTCTCCTGATTGGCTCCAGTCAGCTTCTTCACACCTCAAGGACTGACAGCATCACCATACCTCAGGCACTGACAGCATTACCATCCATGGTTGCACACTCTACCTTGCTAAGCCAGTGCGGAACCTTGGGGTCTTGTTTGACCCTCAACCATCCTTTCTAACCCACATCTGCTTCATGACCCGCTCTGCCTTCCCCCACCTCCTCAACGTCGCCCGGCTCATCGAGGCTCGACTATGCAAACTCACTGCTTGTCAGCCTCCCCAACTCCTCCCTCCACAGGCTGCAAAGCATCCAGAACTTTTCAGCCCGTGTCCTCCCCTGCACAAGGCTCCGCGACCCTATTAGCCCCATCTTTGCTCAACTCCACTGGCTTCCTATTACACAGAGGATACAGTTCAAGATCCTAGTCATCACCTTCAAAGCCCTCCATGGTCTTGCTCAACCCTATCTCTGCGACCTCCTGACCCCCTACCCTCCTGCTCTCTCCCTCCTCTCAGTGGGCTCCGTCCGGCCTGCTTCACAACCCTCGCCTTGCTTGCCCCACTATTGGCGGGCGGGCCTTCTGCCACTCTGCCCCCACCTTCTGGAACTCCATCCCAGTCGCTCCTCTCGCCCCCTCCCTTGCCACCTTCAAGACCCATCTCAAGACTCTCTTCTTCGACCATGGTTTCGATCTCCCTGCTTTCCCCCCTGCCCTCCACCCTCCCCGCCCCCGAGCTCGGGTCCATAACTCTGTCTGTCCAGCGCCTTGGGACATCCTCCCGATGTGAAAGGGGCTTTACAAATGTAATTTTGTTGTTGTAAACTACTATAACTACTGCACTTCAAGAACAAATTACCAATTTTCCTTGTTCCCCCTCCAGTGTTCTGCTGGCAGGTACATTTAATTATATCATTTCACACCCGTGAATGAGTATTGCAGAACCAGTTCCTGCAGCTTGGACTACAGCCCCTTTCAGAGAAGATGTAAGAAAATCTCTATACCGCTCGCTTTGTTCTCATACAATACACATCACCGCTCCTCTGACTTATTGCAAGTACAATGCACCCGCTCAGGTTTTACGACTGGAGGTGGGGGACAAAGCACAGACCTGAAGCTGGAGGCAATACAGTCCAGTACCTCAATCTGGTTAAGGTCAGCTGCCACCTATAGAGAATGCAGTTTCTGCTCTGACCCAGAGATAGGGACCACGAGATAAAGGCACCAGTTTAGTGCATTTAGCAATCAGTTCGCTCATCCAGAAATGGCAACCAACTGTCTCTTACCAGTAATAGACTGTGGTATGTGTTCCGTTGATTTCAGATGCACACAGTCATGATGTGAATAAACTAATTTATCCGGTGGATTGTTGGCCAGGATTACAGGAGAAACTCCCTTCTCTTCTCTAATCGACCATGGGTTCTCGAAGGTCCAACTGAACAGACAGAGGGGACCTCAGTTCCAAAGGATGGCAGCTCCTTCATTGCAACACTCCCCCAGTAATGCACAAGAGCAGGAGTGTCAAACACACGGCCCATGTAGTGCTATTTGGTGGCCCATCCATTTATTTCT